ATTACGTCGGGAAAACCCCGTTACTTTTATGGTCCGCCCAAGTTAGGTTGATGGAAATTAAAGCTTTTTGCACGGTGATAAATTTGATTTAATAGATATAAAACGGTCTTATGTTTAGTGAATACGAAAAGGCGAAATAAAGGTACCACACCATGCCCCAATGGAAATTGATGCATGCAGGCCATCCTCGACTATGAACCGACATACCACTGTGACCTTCCAGCCCCAGCTTGGCCTGTCGGCCTGCGTTTTGTCACCTGTCTGGAGTGGCCACAGTGCCCCCGATGACCACAGTGACCCCCATCGCGGAACGGAATACCATGGCACTCTGACCTGTTGTTGATGTCCAAATTGATTTTTATTTGACGCGACCGTACGTCATCTGACCTTGTCCTGATGAACCCAGATCCAAACCAACCATACCATGCTGAAAAAAAACAGATCGTGAACAAAATCAATTTAACCTTAACTTTTCCTAGTGACAGCTAAAATCATCATATACAGAAATATATGCCCACGCTTAGCATGTCATTTCAGCAGTTTTGTTCATAGCAACAGTCATCCGTACATGATATAATATTTGTTGTGTTGGTCACGGCACTGTACCGGCTTCTCACCAAACTCGCCAGATAACGCTCTAAGTTTGCCAAAAGGGATGGCTACTGAGTGCTGAGATCATCTATACCGAACCTGTGCCAACACTTATGCTTGACTCTGATTGAGTTGAGGTGTATCATGTATCTAGGAGTGATCTAATTATGTAGGTTATCGGGTGTTGACATATTAATGCCACAAGTACAGTGTACACTTTCGAGACGCTCACTGTCAAGGCGGATTTACTAGGGGGCTTAAATGCACAATCAGTATTGACAGCTCGTAACACTATCTACAATCGTTCATCGATCACATCAATGTGAAGGGTGATTTACAACACTTCCGGCTGTCTGCGATGATGGCCCGATAGATGACACCCGCGGGGCGCGGCCCATACATGTAGAGTGACGTGACGTTTGCTTCCACCCCGGTCCGAGAGAAAAGTCCCACCGTTTTCCAGTAGGGTGGGACATCCCAGCATTATCACCACGGAGAGACGCCCACCGTGAGCCGTCGTCTCGCCGACAGAGCCGCGCCTCACGGACGATCGCTCCTCGGCCCGCTATCGCAAATTGACGTGTCAAAAGTGAGGCACGGAAGGCGGCGGTGGTGGCACAGAGGTAGACGGTGTCTGTGGGACAGCGACCGCCCGGTGTGATCTATAGCAGTCGGGGTGGTGATAGCCGCAAATTTGGTGAGACAGACGAGCGCGGCGCCACATATTGCTCACGGAGGAAGACGGTAAATGGCGACCTGGCTTAGCATCAGATGTCATGGGATTTTTAGTGCTTTTGGTCTTATAAAAAGACGAATCCGAAATCGACGTTGGCTTGTTTTTTTCTAGCAATAAAACTAAGCGTGGGCGAATAAAACAATAAAAACTATAGCGTGGGCGAAACGTATTGTCTATTGCAATTTACAATTAACTCTGGTTACGAGACGGAAACAGTGGCATTTCAGCGACATTCGTAGAATAAAAGAAAGCTACGACTCCGGAAGTTTACTCCCAAGTAGCCCGCACATCCCCACTGAAGTCCTACGTCTATTGGCGAGTCTGCACGTTGAATATTCCGAATGCCCGAACAGCATAAGAACTGCACGGATCGGCTACGTTGCAGCTGCCCTCACGATTTACGGCGCCGTGATTCTGAGGTAATGGAACATTTGCATCTTGTTTGCATTTCAAGTGAATCATTGATGCATTGTTGTGGCTCCGTGGGGGTTTGGGCTTAAAGACCGTCGTCAGTCTACTCACCTTTCTTTGACTGTGGCATACGCTACGGATAGCCTCTGTTATCTATTTGTTGTCAGACATTTGCTGTTGTATTACCATGCATTCGATTTGACTGTCAACATTATCATAATATTTCTATTTGAAAATACTCAACATATATCTCTGAAATGAAAAGCTTTAAGCTCTTGCACCGAACGTTATAGGGAATTTGTCAAATTGATATCGTATAAATCACCACAACCAGCCGCACACCTTTTAAAGTTTGGTGAGATACTCATTTCAGGCTACGCCAATATAATCTGGAATATTTATCCAATATTTTCTATCATTTTTACACTGCATTGATTTTCGACTTAGAGACATAATGCTACGAAGGGATGCTGCAGCGCGATGCACACACATTATTGCAGGTGCTTTTTCAACAAACCACTCGACTCGCTATATGGGCCAGTTCCTGATCTGCGAGCATTCCGACCGGCAAACACGACAAATCTGCCTCGGCAGTCTTGGTGCCGGTCGATTTCCGACGCCAAGTTCCTCAGCAACAGTATGTCCTATCGTGACCCGCCCCGCCCGACCCGACCCCAGTCTCGCACCCATTAGCGCAATTAGGCCATGTGCCATGTCGCTGAGTCGGGCTCGCCTGCAGTGTGCGGCCGGGCGGTGACATGTCGCCTTCCGGCAGCGTCCTGTGTGATGAGGCGCCCGTCGCCCTGCGCTGAGCTGACCTGTAATGCCCCGGGCTGTCGCCGTCACCCTGTCGGCCGTCAGACGTCAGCACCCAATGGCCTAATGGACAGTCACCCTGCCCGGCCGGAACCAGCGACCGCGCGCGCGCTGTCTCGCGTGCCAGCGTTCATGCAAAGTTTTAAATAGTGCCGAGACGGTGCCGTATGACGTTTTGACAGCGAGATTATACTTTCAGCTGAATTTGGTGACACGCGACCTTTTCACATTTTGATGGGTATGTCTCCTGACCTGTCATTCCATAACTCCTTTTTCGCTTTAAGACATGCAACTGCATTTATTTCGATTAAACGTTCCAAAAGACTGGTATGGGAAAACCTGTATGGAATCTTAAAATGTCAGCGAGAAAATGTAATGCATCCTGCGAGGTCTGAGCGTGCCCTGTATTGGATTCAGATATTTTTCGAATTTTATTGCAGTAGAGGAGCTATTGAAGCGAAAACATACAAACACGTAATCTCTTGTGTGTTAGGATGCATTTTTCTGCAGCCAGGTATCAAATGAGGAAGATTGCAACGCTGCAGCGATGTACGTAGCTCGGTGATGTTATATCTAGTTACTCTTTGTTTTTCTCTTTTCAATTTATCTGGCCCTGAAACGTATGAATATAAATCAATGAACCCCTTCGAAATGCATTGAACTGAACCAAAGACATGTTACATCCTCCTGTTTTTGCGTCGTCGTCAGAAGTTAGTTACCAGATTCGTATTGGAGTTGTTTTTCATATTGGGAACGGATTGTTGGTTTCTTCTTGTGATCAACCTGACTTTTGTACATACAGTTGAAGTAAGATCACGTCTCCAAGCAGTGATCGTTTACCTGCCATTCCCGCGATCCGTGCGGTCCTACCTAAACTGGATGTCCATAACATCAATCAGTACAATCAGTATAGGTACCTACATAGTTCTTAACTCTTTAGATCACATTTGATACCTCATTTGATACCTGGCTGCAGAAAAATGCATCCATCCGGCTAATGTGCTAATGGGGTGATATGCAAAACTTATGCTTTTGGTCCTATAGCCTGTTTGTTAGTGATGTTTTTAGCAACTGGTGAATGGTGATGTTTTCGATAGATTTTCAGCATCTGCGTATATAAGGGAATCAAACAGACAAAATATATCACCGCGTTTTTCCAAAACCCTTATCATTTTTGCCGTGAATATCCGGGAAGCATGGAAGATCCCTTTTAAAAAGGGTCCAATCATCCGATCCTGATCAAATATGTCTATTCGTATGCTTGTTCTGCAGCATTAGGTACTTGATCTGCCAAGACAGACAAACTTGGCAAAAAAAGTTTGACAAAGCAAACAGAAAAACAGACTGGCTGTACCTTTTTTGAAAGTTTCTACCCAAACCGTCGGAAAATTCACGGGAGAACAGATTTGGAGATTGGAAATAAGCGTCGACGTATATCTCAATTCATCAACAAAAAATATAGCGAGAGCACCTGCTCACATTGAAAAATGGTTTGTGCGAGCTATGTGATATTTGCGTAGAGTCTATTTGTTAGGCCGAGCTGCTCCAAGAACTGCTGTGCTGTTTGCCGACCCTACCTTGTCTTCTCAAGACTTTTTCTCGTCACACCATCACAATACGACCAGCCTTCTTGGGTTACGACTTACCATAATATACCAGTTTTTTTTTTTCATCTGAAGCAAGGACGTGTTTTAATAAGTCAACAGAGAACTGTCAGCGTCATTAGTGGTGCGTTGGGAGTGGCTTCTCCGGTGCCGACGCCTTTGTCTTTCAAACGAGAAGGCTGGCTCAAGTTGGAGCCCTTTTGGATGGCTGACGTGGTGACACAAAGACGGCGCTGTTGGCAGCCACTCGCCCAAGCCGGATAGGCGGCTGGAGCGTTTTGATGGGTTAATGGTGCTCCAGTGCTGTTTAGTAAATGGACTGGGCCACCCGACCCTCGTTAAAAATAATAGATTATGAAATGAAAAGCTCTGCGAAAAAGATGTTGACAATGAAGATGTTGAGGGATATCAGCGTCTTTTGATCGAGAAAATATGCTTTATTTATTATCACACCATATGCAAATGTATACGAGTATTACTTACCTTATCTGTGACCGGGGATACATGCGCAGGATGGTAATGCTGGACGAATAGGAAAATCCGTTCCTGATGCGCATTTACTTGCTCATGCATTCGGGGTCTGTAGGTCTACTAGCGTGGTTTATCATTCAACACGAATGTAGGACGTAAACGCATTGCTTGCTCTTCTTTACATTGAATTTCAAATGTTCGCCTGAAAGTGCGCATTTAGTTAATTCCGGTTTTCACTTGTTGCCGATCACTGTCCTTGATGCCGCCGCCGAATCCGCTCTCCAAACATCGTTCGGCGCGGCTCGCGTGACGGCAGTGAGTCAGCGCCACTGAATTATTCCGCGGCGTGTCTGACCGTGCACTGCCGGCAGGTGATCCTGTGGATCACGGCGTGGATCACCGTCAACCTGGTCTTCATCGGGCTCATCATGTGGAAGAGATTGGCGCGGCGCTACATGTACCAGCTGGCCATCTCGTCCTGGGTACTCATGACGCTTCAAGGTCAGTCGTGTGGTCTGCAACTGCTTCATACAACTTTTTTATTACGAGCGAGCGAGCGCAGCGAGCGAGCGAGTTCATACTTAACCCGCGCCCCGTAGGGGGGGGGGGCCGAAACGGCCCCCCCTGTCCTTTTCGGTCGATATCTCCTAAACGGCTGGAGATATTGCCACCAAACTTTCAGGACCCCTCCGGGCATCAATTTTGCACATTGTGACCAAAAAATTTTCCAGAGGCTATGATAGGTTGGCCACAAATGACGTCAGAGTGACGTCATGTTCTGTCATTTTCGACCGAAAAAAGACCTTCGCGAGAAGACCTGTCAGGACTACAGCTTTGAAGATACAGAAAAATGATCAAGACATAAAAGGTGTAGAATTGACAGGGCTACAAAACTGCTATCTCAAATTTTTGAAATTTTTGAGTTTTGACCCCCAAAAATCAAAAAAGCATTTTTTTGGATATATTCGCCAAAAATCCAAAAAGTTTTTTGAGTTTCGAAAAAACCGGAATATATGTGATAGTGCCTACCGTTTTCTATCTACATACCAAATTTCAGATCGATACCTCGTTTTTTGGCCAAGTTATAGCGAAAAAACTGTTCAAAAATGATGACGTCAAATTTTCAAACTCAATTTTTGGCAATTCTAGAACTCGTAGAGCAAAACGAAGACCACCATTAGACTCCCCGTGACGAGCTGCATCGAATCGATACCCATTTTATGCAAAAATATCAACTTTGAAATTTGACCTAATTTGACCTGACCTTGACCTGACCTTCACAAAAACGTGACCTAGGCTGGCACCAAAGGCTGCCTAAGCCACATAATCGCATTTGTCATGTAAAATGGACCATAAAACATGTATCACACGACACATTCATATTGTGACCCCCGGTGACCTGACCTCGCTGTGACCTGACCTGGTATCAGTGACCTCAGATAGCAAAGTATGTGTTTGACGAACAATGTACCATCGATGGCTTTCAATAAATAACCAATTTACTCGCTTTCACAGCACATTTCTTGAATTGCCTGTGAACGGTGAAAATCTGACCTTTGACCTGACCTGTGACGTCATCGGTTTGACCTAGGTCAATGAAATTTGGTCACAAGGTAGTTCCCGGGTGGGGCTATCGAACGCCGTTTGAATTTTGAAAATCGGCCGGTAACTTTCCGAGATCTTAGGGGGGGCCGATACGGCCCCCCCCCCCTACGGGTGGTAGGGTCCGCCGGTAGCCCTACGGGGCGCGGGTTAATAAAGGGAAAATCCTGAGGATGAGCGGCCGGCCGGCCGGCCGTGGGGACGCTTTTCAAAAGCTATAATATCTTAGGAACGGGACATCCGATTGACAAGCGGTCTTCTTTACCTAATGTCACTTGGACGTAAAAGTTCTGTGGTGTGATGGCCACCATGCGTTCTTGCCAACCACCGCACGTGGCGCGTGGTAAAGTGGGACATTTTTTAAGAACCCCCAAAATTGCAACCTCAATAACGGCACAACGGTTGGGCGGATTGAATTGAAACTCTGTACACAGTTAGGTCTCCATCAGATAATTCATCTGCATGTGTTACGGTTGGGGTGCTACTGCACGTGCGCACGTGCAGGGGGCGTTTCCAGATCTCGAGAACGGCTGGGCCGATTGCGCTCAAATTTGGTACAGGGTTGGGGACCGGTTAGTAGGGTGCCGTGCAAAAGTCATTTTGGACCCGTTTGCACGTGCGCACGTGCAGAATGCCGCTTCCAGATCTCAGGAACGGCTGGGCCGATTGCGTTCAAATTTGGCACACCGCTAGCGACCGGTTAGAAGGGTGCTTTGCACAAGCCCGTTGGAAGTACCCTCTCGCCCTTGCGCACGTGCAGGGCTCACTATCTCGCTCGCTCGTTCTTCGCCCAAAAGGCGTTTTACTGGTTCATATTCCATGACAAACATTGTTTTCACTCGGTTTGTAACGAAAGAAAAAAAAAATGATTGAGCTAGGGCACCGGTTGGCAGTCTGGTTCATCTGCTTCATAAAGACGAAGCGAGCGTAGTCTTTCCTGCGCAGGCGTTGATGCTCAACAAAATGTCAATTTTTGAGACGTGCTTGCCAAAATAATTAAGGAAACAACTTAAGTTAAGCATAGTTTTATCGCACATTTTTAACTGCGCGATCAATCAAAATTTAGCGCTCTCACAATTGAATGCTCGAATAAGTGAGCATTGATGTTGCCTTTAAATGCGTTTAAGTTCAATGCAAAACCCAGTGCTTTATTTTAGGGCTAGTCTACTTATACACCTGTCGATTTTCTTTTTTACCTGTAATGTACGAGTTGGTAGCCGACGGCTCATTTTGTTCAAGCCACATACCTACACGGAAAATGATAAATTTTGCATGGACATGTTAAATGGACATCATGTCCTTTTAATAGTTTTCTTGAACAGGTATATGCGGTGGCGATGGAAAGCGTCGCTGAACCTGAACAATTAAAGGCGTAAGTCACGCATTATGTACTTATGGACCGAGGTAAAGCCAGTTAGGCGTGATTTGCATTCACCAACTGCTCATTCCGCTGACTCATCGTTGCAGGCTACCAAAGACATCTGTACACCGATGATGTGTGTCGATAATGGCGCCGTAATGGTTCATTATCTGGCACACACCATCTGGCCTGCCGAGTGCCACTTGGACGGTCGTTAATGGCTGTGTGCTGTATAGACCGGGCACACAGAGTCGCACGGTGCACCGATAGCTCCGTTCTACCGGTCAGCTCCCGCCCCGTGCGATCCAAACGCTGCCGACCGAGCGCTCCAGAGTGTGTGCGTTGGTGGCGCTGCCGACCCCCGTGTACACACACACGGGGTGTTAGATAAGCACCCGTCGGTGGTGTCGACTCGGCAGGCTAGAGTGGTGACCTCTGTGACCCCAATGGTGACTGTCCGATAGCCATCAGTGACGCAACAAATTCAGATACGACCTTCCAGGCCGACTGGGGGCCACGGCGTATTGCGCCGCACGCTGAACACAGCAGCAATAGTACGAGCGGGTGTACTTAAGTCACCTTTTGTATGTAATGAACGAGGCCAAACGAGCTTATCTTGCATCGAATAGATATGTCATGCACCATTTACAGATAAGTACGAACATAGTTGTATCAGACATGGAGTAAAATAATTGACATAGGACACGTACATACGTATGCTACTGAATAATTGCTTCATCGAGAGTCTTATGCAAGTAATAGATTGTTGCATAAACCTGTAACAGCGCGGGCTCAGCGTTATGCCTCCGATGAGATACCCCGCTATGCAACTCGGCAGCTAACGTATTGAAGAGATTTATCAAACGAATGAGTCCCATTTTCACCTGGGGTAGCACCAGAGTGCTATTAAACGGACGTCAGAATCCAGCGACGCTACTGAACGAATGGCGGCTGTGATGAGTATGACGTCAAAGGATCAGGTTAGTCACACACTGGCCTGAATGAGCAGAAAACACTACACCATCTGCATAGTGAGAGTCATCGTAGCCCCAAAAGGTGAAACCCCGACCTTATCGCGTCGCAGCCACTCCATTGTCCCAAAAGTCCCCGATGATCTTGCAAAGATTCGTTTCCACACGGACCTTTACGGGTCGGATATCGACCCAGCTTTTACGGTGACCGAGGAGGGTGAAGGTGAGAACGAGAGCGAGAACAAGGAGGCCAGCAGGGACACATAAGAGAGCAGTTACGGTTTGTGGAGGGTCCGGAAAGAGGGTTGGTGCCACTATCGTCATTATAACAAAGTCCAAAGCCACAGCCAAAACACATACCATATAACCGACACCCTAAAAAATAATAGCAAGAAAGCGGAAAAGAATTAAACTTAATGAAAATGAAGTGGCGCGAAAGGAACGCTTACCTGAACAGCATAGTGTAAAATAAACTAACACTTTGTCGATGTAAAAAAACAAATCTCCATACCACCTCTTCAAAATAGCCCTTCCAAATTCCGACTTACAAATTTGTGATGCGGACACAGAGTGCCATTGAACTGGGACCTGAGACCGGCTGCGTCTCTGAGCACACAGAGGGGCCAGACGGATCTCGGTGTTCAGTGAAGCGGGCCTGCTTTATCGCCGCACTCGGCCGAGTCCGTGACGATGGTATTCAGGAGCGGTGCTCGGTAGAGCCGCGTCCCGGTGCCGGCGGACGTCAATCCGCGGAGCTGGCGACCGTCAATCTTCTCAGCAGCGCTACAGTCAGAGGACGAGCGGATGTGACCACCTTTTCTCAACAGCTACTGTATGCAGGAGCCGGCTGGATATTCGCTCGAATGCTGAGCCTGATAGGCGTCGTAGCAGACTCGGCTTTTGGGAATTCAATTTCGCTGTATCGGATAATCCAACGGCTTATTTACAAGGTGTGTTTGCTACCAGCATTTCATACATTTCCACATTTTATACATATCTTAGTCGTACCTAGGCATACCAAATTAGTAAATAGGACTGCAGCTCATTTCTTTAGAGGATCGGGTGGGGGCGTTTGGTTCTGGTGTGAAATGACCTGACCTGACCAGGCCGACACATTCCATCACGAGCTCTCACGCAACGCTGTACCACGAAAACAGTCCGACAGCACGGGTGTCCACTGTCCACAGTCTCTGGAATGAAGTGAAGAATAATGACCCATGACCCTGGAAAGTATTCCATCAGTTTGCAAAAATCATGCTTAATTATGTGAATACCAAGTGACAGAGGCTCATGTCTCCCATTTAGAAAAAAAAACTCATGTTTTAATTGAGAGCTCCTAAGTCCATACACTAAGTACATATAAGTGAAGAGGAGTCTGCTGTGTTGGCTGAAACAGACTTTGTTAGCAGTCAAATTGCATTCGAGAGACTATTCAAATACTTGTAGTTCTACCTCGTATCAATCGCTCGGAGCGATATTTAATCAATTTGAATAGGCTTTCGCATGCGCTTTCCTGACTGCGGGAAGAACTGTTTCAAGCATACTGCTCCCGACCGGAACTATCAATCGATTTTGGGTGAGATGCATGATTTACAAAGCTCGATAACCTTGAATGAACTCTGACTCACTGCTTTACCGATAGCCCTGTATTTTATCTTGCCCCTTCCACTGACCGCGTGACATTCTACCAAGACATGAGTGAATACTTACATAGTGGGCGCTGAAGCGACTGGAACCGGAATGTCGTCACCGGGTAGTCGAACACTCGCTTACTAAGTGGACGGAAGGAAAGCTCTTCATGCCCTTGCTTCAGTCACAGTTGTTCTGCACCACCACTCATAACCAGCTTATCCAAGGATGCTGTCATCTTCGCCCAGCGAATGACAGCATCTTACAATCACAAAAAGTGGTGTTTTCGGGGATGAAAATATTTGACCAAATCGCACATCTTTTAGCCAGACGTTCAGCGGTGGACTTTCTCAGGGAACCCAATCCAGATTCAGCTGTTCTTAGTGTTACCTCTCTCTCTCTCTCTCTCTCTCTCTCTCTCTCTCTCTCTCTCTCTCTCTCTCTCTCTCTCTCTCTCCTCTCTCTCTCTCTCTCCTCTCTCTCTCTCTCTCCTCTCTCTCTCTCTCTCCCTCTCTTCCTCTCTCTTTCTCTCTTTCTCTTTCTCTCTCTCTCTCTCTCTCTCTCTCTCTCTCTCTCCCCCCTCCCTTCTACGTCTTCCACCGACACATTGGACCGCAGTCCACTGACCCTTTTCTCCCTCTCCCCCCCCCTCCACAGCTGATATGTCAACACGAATTCCTCACCCTAGCTCTAAATCGTCGTCATTATTGGTTCGGTTGTCAACACTGTTCTCAGCCGGGCATCGATCCACCCATATATTGAGCCTTCTATCGAGCCGCGTCGTGTCCGATTGGCGTCACTGTTCGAAAATGAGAGAAAGCCGTCCGCGGAATGTTTGCCCTTGGTCTTTTGTTAGAGACGACGATTCATTTAGCCTTTCAGAGATATGGGTGCCTTCAGCCAAATGCATCACTTAATGATTTCTTGTGTTGTAAACCACTGCCAGATTGACATGCTAAATGGCCTTATCACTTGTCACTTGTCAACGCTCTATGAGTGTCATGTAATGTCATCATTAATGTCATTGACATTTCGTCACTGTCATTAAGTGCGACATTATTGCTGTCATTACTACTTTCTCTGTCACCTCGACTGTCATTAACATCACTCTTTCCCTGTCAGTCAGTAAGCTTTTTAGTTTTTACAAAAACCATCCCAACTCCTCTGTCATCCTCAACGTCAACATGCCACCGCTGCACTTCCATAAATATTTTCCATTATGATTATAGCATGTCTTCCATGCCATTAAGTGTCGGAAACGAACAGCCCATGAATTTGGGGGCTATTTGCTTTTCCGTCACTGTCATTTTCACTCAGCTTGCGCAACAGGGACTGTCTCAGCCACTGTCACTGTCATCGTTCCAATCATTAGTGCAGTTTCCGTAGCACTCCGCCGCCCGCGAAGCCGGCGCTCAGGCGCATATAATTAAACCGCCTTCATCCAATATGAGCCTGTTTCATGTATTTGCCACACAATCGTTTTCCGATCGACTTCCTCCTTTCAAATGAGATCGGATGCCTCTGGTCTATCTGTAGCCGCAATATGAGTCAAATAATGAAGGCGCCGACACAATTACTGCTCGCACTGGGAAGATCCCGGAACTTATCGATTTGCTTCAATGAAATGCAGGGATACCTACTCAATATCTTAGACTTGAGTTTCCACGGAGCCTTCCTGCTGCTGAAAATTGACCCTCTCTAAGACTGCATCGCTGACTCGTAGCGATTCGTCCCTACTTATTAAAAACTCGCACGATAACCGCCGTGCCCACTCAGCCTTGTGACTGTTCACAGGTTAACCTTAATTGAGTTTTAGTGAACCTCACATCAATACTCATCTAATTGTTTCACCTCGTCTGACTTACCTCTCCCTTCTCCTCCTCAGGGTGTCTCTGTACCGGTCTATGCGCCGGCTGGGCGGATGCCGACAGTTTCAGCGCCCAGCTGAGGATGATCTGGTACAGCCTGATGCTGGTCTACATGACGTACGCGCTGATGCCGCTGCCACTGCGGCTTTGCGTGCTGCTCGGCACCCTGACGGCGTTGATACACATCACACTGCTGCTGGTGCTCGCGGCGGTAAGTCACATGTCATACACGACAGTCTGGTGCTCGCAGCGGTAAGTCACGCGCCATACACGTCAGTCTGGTGTTCGCGGAGGTAAGTCACAGGTCATACACAACAGTCTGGTGCTCGCGGCGGTAAGTCACGCGCCATACACTGCTGCTGGTGCTCGCGGCGGTAAGTCTGCACGTCAGACACGACAGTCTGGTGTTCGCGGCGGTAAGTGACACGTCATACACGACAGTCTGGTGCTCGCGGCGGTAAGTCACACGTCATACACGACAGTCTGGTGCTCGCGGCGGTAAGTCTGCACGTCATACACGACAGTCTGGTGCTCGCGGCGGTAAGTCACACGTCATGGATAGCAGTCTGTTTCTGGAGCCAGAAGGCGCCGTCAGGGACGTCTCCCCTTCTCTCTCTCTCTCTCTCTCTCTCTCTCTCTCTCTCTCTCTCTCTCTCTCTCTCTCTCTCTCTCTCTCTCTCGCATTCTCTTTCTGTCTGTTACTTTCAACATCACTCTATGAGTCTATACTTATGAGTCTATACTGACCACCGCAGTCGACGCGCCCGCAAACCCTAATAAACATACAACATTTTAACTCTATTTTAACTTACACTCTGACACTTGTAACACTTTCTGTTTATCAGCGCTTGTGATAGTCGTTTCAGTCAATGAATATTTGATGGCACTGGGAGTGAATGAGCGTCGTTTTAGGAATTATGTAACTTATTTATTGCAGCTTTATCAAGATCAGGGGCTGTAAATGCACGTATGACGTAAACCACTTAAAAGGAGCGGACTCGCAAGTCCTGACTTAGACACACCATTCCCAACTTTGGCGAGATTGTCATGCAAGCTCCAGGAATTCCGATCTAAACATAGTACCCCGATCTGTTCACTTTTCGCTCCAAGAACTCATTCTCACCCGAACGCAGCATACTGAACTTTGCGCTGCTCGTTCCGGGAACCCCGTTCGGGACGTGGTCCCTGAGCTGTCCCCTGCTCCTGACCGCAGGAGCTGTGGTCCGGGTGGAGCGTGGTGGCCTCTCTGCTGCTGTTTCTGGGCCTGAACCTGGCCGGAATGTACACACGGTTCCTGACTGACCGGAGTCAGCGGGGAGCCTATCTGGAGACTCGCAGGGCCATCGCCACCGCTCTGCACGCCCAACAGGAGAACGACAAGCAGGAGAAGCTCCTGCTCTCCAGTGAGTTGCCTGTTGACCTTGCTAACTCTACCGTTTGTAGGTTACATGGATGGGGATAAGAGCTTGCTCCAGATCCTCATGGATGCTTTTTAAAGAATGTCTTTTTACTTTTGTGTAATGCATGCTTTTGCAGTTGTGTGTAGGAAGCAGCGGGGTTAACCCGCGCCCCGCTGGGGGGGGGGGGGGGCAGAATCTGCCCCCCCTCCCGTTTTTCGCCAATAACTTCTAAACGCGTTACGCCAGCGACGTCAAACTTTCAGTACCTTATCATACATCAATTTGACACGTTCCCTGAAAATTTGAGCGAAATCCGTCGGAAAATTTTTGAGAAATTGACGTTTTAGTGACGTCATGTTCGCCATTTTCGCCTCAAAAACGGCAAAATTTCAAACGCCGCTAACTTCTTCATTTTTAAAGGAATCAAGACGTAACAAAAAAGGTTATACGTGATTCTACTTTGTCTATCAAATGGCTATCTCGGTTTTTTGAAAATTTTGGATTTTGGCCAAAATTTTTCCAAAAAACTGACTTTTTTGGGAAAATATTTGTAAAATCCAAAATTTTGAGTTTATCGAAAAAACCGGAATATATGTCAAAGAAGTGGTCTATGTGCACCTACATACCAATTTTGAGAAGAATCGGTTCAAAAATGTGGGAGTTATTCAAAATTTTATGACGTCACGACACACAATTCTTTTGAAAAATGATTTTTTTTGGAAGTTCTAGACCTTGCACGGAAACAAAAATAGCACCATTCGATTTGCCGTGAAAAACTGCATCGGATAGATACCTTTTTAGGCCTTAACAACCAACTTCAAAATTTGACCTCACTTGACCTGACCTTGACCTGACCTCGACCTGAAATTCATCCAGAGGTGGTCCATATCACTTATTGAGTGTGCCTATTGAATTCCATGAGTAAAATGACCCATAAAACATGTGTCGCACATGCCCTTTTCTATATTTTGGTTTTGGTGACCTGACCTGACCTGACCTGACCTTGACCTTGACCTTTGAATGACATTGTGTGCAACGAATATTGTCATGGTAGTCTAAGAACACGTTTTGGGCAATCAGTCTCAGTCCATTCTTCGGCAACTACGGTGCAAGGCCGATACTGTAGAAACTTGCATTTTGTACCCTTGACCTGACCTTGACCTGACCTCTGACCTACTTAGGCAAAAAAAATTTGGGCTCTTAAGATCCGCCTTGTTGAGAGCTTTCGATTGCCGTTTTCCCCGTCTCTCTACGACCATCGGTTCGGAAGTTAGACAGGGGGGGCAGAATCTGCCCCCCCCCCCCCCAGCAGGGCGCGTATGGCTGAATAGCCCAGCGGGGCGCGGGTTAAGGTAAGTTGTTTTTAAGCGATTGTAATTGATTTAGTCAGTTTTTCTGCTTTTTGTGATGAAAATAGCGCTGTAAGGCAATGCGTTATCCCTGAACAGTGAGAAGTGCAAAACAAGGGACAGACGGTTTGAAAGTTCATGACCGGGAAGTTTCTTATAACGGAGACAAATTTCGCATATAAACTAACCAGCATTGGTTGAATACAACCGTAACAAACAAAAACTTCTTTTTGTATGTAAACGTCCGTTTTTCTTCCTTCTCTGCCTCTCGCCTCGCTCCTTCATTTTATCAGATTGGCTCTTTTTTAACTTTTTTTCCACCGACATGACGTGCATATAAGTTTGATGGTGCCGTCGTAAACGACATCAGAGACATGGTTTCTACCTGCTCTTGGAATTCTGCGCTTGAGTGAGCAAGGCTTTTCAATTTAGCCAGCTTGTTTGCGTTCTTTGTCTTACTTGGGCTTTCGGGTCTTCTTGGTAAGCGTAATGAGACTGAACAGCGGCGTTTTTATGCTGAGTGAGTTGTCCCGCTGCTCTTATATTGAGTAACTTCACGGTAATGACTGTGGAGTATAGGACGTAGAAACGCAAACAGAGTACTGAAGGCTGCAGCCTCCATAGCTCACTTGACTTTGAATATTTACTTAGTTAATTATGAGTGGGTCGAGAACAACATTGGAAATGATATATTTTTGCTCCTTTTGGCATATGCTAGCACAAATGTATCACCAATGATAAAACATGTAATAATGCTTCTCCATTGTATGCGACCAACCTCACACTAATGCAAAGCATGCATTACATTTTCTTTTTCTACAGTTTTGCCCCGGTTCGTCGCTCTGGAGATGATTAGGGACATCTCACGGAGTGACCAAGAGCCATCGCCAACCGGCTCACCAGCCGAGGGCCAGTTTCATAAAATCTACATCCATCGCTGCGAAAACGTTAGCATCCTCTTCGCAGATATCGTGGGCTTCACAGGTGAGTCAATAAAACAACAATAACTGCATTTTATTACCGACGATGAATTATATTGCAGTCCTTTTCATGTGTCTATTACTCTTTTTTTGTTATTGGACCAGTTTATATGCTCGTGTTGGCTAGATAGTGCCGTGCGCGCTATCCCACGCGATGTGTTTAGCGTTCCGTGTCGCGTGCACGGTCCGCGCGCCGAGGCCTCTCGGCCTGACAAAGCCTGCAGTCCGTGGCGGGCTGGCCATTAACTATGAATGGCCGTGGCTCAGTGAGGCGCCGGCCAGTCGCCAGCGACGGACGTCACAGCAGCCCCCGGGGATCGGCGTCCAGTGATCAGTGTCTCTGCTCAGAGTGGCACTGGTCACACCCCGGGCTGGGCAGAGGAGAGCGCAGGACTCTGCTCACACCGCGGCGTCACTGCAGAAATCAAACCGCGAATGTAGCTATATTTGAAGCTAAATGACACCGCCTGTCAACCACTGACAGGCCTTACTCTGTAGGAGATACGCGCTCAACTTTACTTGGTCGATCCGAAGCGCTGTGCGGGCGACTTTCGGCTCTGTGCCGCCGCGGCTGCCTGTCAGGTAGACTGTGCCGCATGACAGGGGTGCACTGCGGAACAGCTCCACTTCTAGCCTCCAGCGGGATTCCGACTGATCAATGATAGATGACTAAAAATGAAGATAAATGTTATCAGATGTCCATAGTACATACGCATGCGTGCGATAATCATAAACCAGAATTTGTTCATCGCAATCTTGACTGATTGAATGATCTTGCACGTTTTACACATTTTTGGTTTCAACTGCCATGGGCCTTTTATTTGGACGATGTAAATGAAATTTGAAAATTATATTTTAGTCAATGGTCTGTTTCTTCCATGTGATCCGCTGTTATACGATCCATAGGCTGATTAAGTCAGAATATAACTCAAACAATGCCAGTCACTTACTAATGGATAAAGTTAAATCAAATTACAGTTGTTGAATTAATTACCAACGCTTTCAGTTATACATCAATACTATGTATGTACGTAGATGAAGATCGAAAATGCGTAGGTAGGCTGCTTTCGTGTGTTTTGCGTGCGCGCAGGCTTCAGGAGCGGCGATCTATCGTTAATGAAATATGGATTGGGCACTATTGCGTGAATTACTTTACCACTTAATTAGCGGAGCGGGGTTACATTTGCAAATTGCTACTCCATTTCGGCGTCAGAGTTGCTGAGCTGCTCCTGCGTTATGGAATTTTAGTGTTTCCGAGAGAAGTGGACATGCATTGATTATTTTTTCACACCGCTACAAATTTATAATATCTCGACATCGCCCGAATCAGTTATAGATTTTGACTTAGCATTTCATTTCTTTATTTTCAATTTTCCGTTATTTTGCCTAAATGTTTGTAATTTTTGCTCAAGTCTCTACGATTTGAGCGAGCGAATTCCACCATCATATTTGTCGTTTTATCGATATCTTCTATGCTATTCAGCTTTCAAATGCGAAACGACTGCAAAGAACCTACAAGTTATTTGCATACCAATTTATATGATGCCCCATGAATATGCAGCTACCATGGCCGAGGCCGAGTTTCCCCATTCAAAGCTAACTTTATCTGGTCTCTCTCTCTCTCTCTCTCTCTCTCTCTCTCTCTCTCTCTCTCTCTCTCTCTCTCTCTCTCTCGTTCCGCAGCGCTAGCCTCGCTTTGCAGTGCCAACGAGCTTGTGAAGCTGCTGAATCGTCTGTACGCCCGTTTCGATCACATCGCACACGTAAGTTGAAGTGGCAAGCGGCAGCTGTGCGGCTGAAAGCCACGATGAATGGTGTTGGAGTGCACACATAATGCCTTTGCAACTTAGTGCAAGAAATAAGTCATGATACTTTTACTTATTTTCAGACTATGAGCAAAAGTTTCGCTTTGTTGATTGCAAAGTTTGAATACACTTTTGTTTATTGCTTGTGTACGTATAGGCACATGTTCTCTTATGTGACTAACGTAAGTTATGTAGGTAATGAATACTCCTAATAAACATGAATGATCATACGCACTATTGCTGGGCATAATTTTTCGATCATTAGGTATCTGCGTGCATGCGACACGATACAACGCATTGTGTGGATGAGATCACCACATAAAACATCTGTCGACCAAACAATGGAGCGTGACTTCCACACAATGCCTGTGCGACTGACGTGGGAGTCGTTTTTAAGTGTAGGTATAACGGACCCTGTGATGCTCCAACTGTAATGCTAGAGGCTTTGAAGCAGGAACCTTGTCGCAAACAGTAGAACAAAAAAAAGCAGCTTTCGCACTGAAAGCTACGAAATCTGAGTCTATTGATACTACCCTTTTATTTTAGCTTTGTTCTCATTGACGCATACCATATTTATACTTTTGTCATACCATGATACTTGTGACAAGCTATAACAGCCACCTTTTATGTTCTCTCGCGTTTAAAATTCAGTAACCTGATTCCTATGATGCGACCTTTTGCTTCGATCCACTATTTATAATGTTTTACCTTTTTATCTCTCTTACTTTGACACAGTAAGCTGAACTGATTGAACTTAACCTTTTCTGTCTGTCGCTCTCAGGACACCAATTGTTTGCGGATAAAGCTGCTGGGCGACTGCTACTACTGTGTGTGCGGTCTGCCTACCTCGCGGCCGGACCATGCCATCTGCTGCGTGGAAATGGGCCTCGGGATGCTGCAGGCCATCCACAGCGTCAGACAGACCCTGCAGGTCAGTCCTAGGGTCAGGGCGGGTAGCTTGGGGAGAGTGCTCTTATTTATGTGTTAGAAGTGTGCCAATGTTATCACCTATTATCTACAAAGCAGCAGAAGTTGTGTCCCAAACAACGATCGATGATGTCATTAATTGGTCTGACTGTCTGTCATTTTGCAATGAACTTCCTGAATTGAGGCCTTGATATATTATTAATGAGGCGTCTAGGTAGTTCTGTATTGTCAGCTTCTTTGCGGTACTTTGCAGCGTAGCGCTGCTATAGGTCTTCTTTGTGGGCCGCTCTGGGTAAATAATTAACGCGCCTGACCTTATTGAGGATAATGATGGAGCCGCGACTGTTGACGCTACTTCTCGAGGCAGAGGGATCGATGCCACGGGCTGCACGGTCTCTTTGTTGGTTTGGGGCTGAGCGACGCTTCTTTAGTAGTTGTGGACCGGAAGTAAATTAATACCGTTAGAAGCGAGGGGACGATTTCAATGAGTATTTTGTGCAGGAAAGAAGGCAGGGGGTTTGCAGTTTTGATCGGATAGTTTAAAACATCTGCTAGGTGAAGATAAACGTACTTAGAAAATAGGGTGGATTGACTGATGCTTATGGGGTATTATCTGTTACGTAAACCTTTAGGCCGGAGAATATATCTACTTTATTTCTCGAACACGGACAAGTTTATGGAGTAAAACGTCAATGTGTTGGAGCCTTACATCCTTTCTTTCGATTGTTGTGAAAACTATATCCTCTATCATTTCTTCAATCCGCCCTAGAAATGTCAAAGCATCCATCGTTCATATAGTTGGCCGGAGGATTTCAATAAGCTTTATGGACGTAGCTGAAGCGTTGAACAAATCAATACTTGAGCCTGGGTGGCCAATGTCCCGCTGAATTGGATTAAAGCCCCTTTATCACCGGACTCCCGTCGACGTTTCGTTATATTTCATCTCATTTGGCGCTCGTATTTGACATAGACCGGGAGTTACGGCCGCTGAAGAAAGACCGCCCGCCATTGGTGACGCGCGAATGACGACTGTGGCGCCTTCACCGATGACGTCATCGGGGCGTCTGGTGTCAGTCGTTGTCGGTGGTGTGACCATGGGCGCGGCGGCTGGGGTTTCAGGGGCGCATGGGACCGACTGACGTCAGCGTGGGATGAGGACACGGGTGGCCGCGAGTGGATGGTTACTGTAAATTTATGTCGCTTCAGATGAAAGATCATCGCGCCATTGTTATCGTGATCGTGTCATCATTTATTGAGACTGCATTCGTATATGAGCGAATCTGCCAGATAGTTCCATGCCAGATAGTTCCATGCCAGACGATCCATGCCAGATAGTTGTCGATGAACCAGTAAATGAGACTTACCGTGCTAAAAGATTGCATTAGCAAAGCAGAATGTGAATTGTAAACACATCATCGGACTTGCATATGTGATCCGTATTGAGCCTGTTATCAATCCTATTTCGTAAAAGTGTTCATATACGCATTTTTTTAGGTTCTATCAATTGTGCTGGTAATTTCGCTGACTATGTGAGCCGTGCCGTACAATCAGCTATTTTCAATCTGTATGTAACATGCCTTGTTACTCCTTCCTTATTTTTATTCTATTTCCCTTTCCAGTGGTGTTCAATACCGGCTTACACTGAAGCTGAAGCTTTCTGACCCCGAATGGCTCGTTCACCCAAGGTCACTCTGCCCCCCCCCCCTGTGCTATGTTCATTCTGTCCGGTAGTGCTGCTTCGACCCATCTTTCCTGATCCTTGACCCGCCCCGGTCGGTCGACAGGTGCCCGTCGACATGCGGATCGGCGTCCACTCTGGCTCCGTGCTCTGCGGCGTGCTCGGCCTGCGCAAATGGCAGTTCGATGTCTGGTCGGACGATGTCACACTGGCCAACCAGATGGAGGCGGGCGGCGTGGCGGGCCGCGTGCACATCAGCCAGGCCACCCAGTCGTGGCTGGGTCACCTGTATGACCTGGAACCGGGTCACGGCGCCGAGCGCAACTCATTTCTCAGGGTGAGTCGCCAGCGCCGCGGCTAGTTACAGTCCCGGCCGATAGATGACACTAGTAGTAATGGCGCCTGAAGGTAGACTGTACCGCATGGCGTGGAATAAGCTTACTGGCGCGGCGTTGCAGGTTAGGGATAGAGGAAAGGACGCCGGTCTGTCGTATATGAAACTGGCTTCACTAAAAACAATGCAGACTTTGTGCACATCTCTTCTCCAGTGAATACTCTATTATTTAGGGTTGGCTGTTACTGGAAATTCGAGCGGGTAAAACGGTTGATAGATTAATAGAACTCGGAACCATAGAATACACAAAGAGCTAGTGTTCCAGCCTAATGAAATTCCAGTAATGAAATGCAGCGGTTTATCCAGTGAAATGTTTGAAGAAGACCACAACATGAATTTATTTGCGTAACAAACGAAATTGCGTGACCTACTTCATTAGGTATATAATAATTAAGTGTAGCAGTTTATAATGTAAGACATCTTTAATCATAGCAACTTTCTCTGATCCTCCAGGACCGCGGTGTGGAGACGTACCTGATCCGGCGCACGGAGCCGCTGTTTCCGGGCCGCCGGCGGTCACACCGCTCCTCCTCAGCCCCGCTCTGGTCCGAGGTGGCTGCGCCGCCGAGCGCTGCCGCCGCCGCGCGCACCGCAGCAGAGGACGAGTACTACGAGTGGATGCCCGAGATCCCCTTCGAAAACGTGAGTATTCGTGCACGAGTGAATGACGCTCAGGGCTTTTGTATGAAGCTGAATGTCATAGCTTATTCTTCGGAATGAATTCTTTGATCGTAAATCTCTATAGGGTGCTTGCTGTCCAGTTTTATAGAATATCATCCGTGTTTGCTGTTGCTGCCTGGAAACACGCTAGGTATTTGATTAGCAGAGCTCACTCACAATATGATTTGATTATGTTTTCTCGGACGGCGTAAGCTGCTTTCATCTCATCCTTCGATCGGGCCCAGATTGTCTCTTTGTTGTGAGATGTTATTAAGACGTTATTAAATTTCTAATTTTCAGGAAATTGACGGATAATTGATTTTCAGTGAACATTGTAACGTGAATTATATAACACATATGCAAAAAATAATTATCCATGTAAGAACTCCTAGAAAAATGTCCGTCTGATCTTTTATCACATAATATCCATTTTCTCTAACACCCTCTCCACTTACCTACAATTTCTATTATTTTTTTTAGCGCGAAATTGAAAAGTGACTCAAATTATGAATGCCAACACATGTTAGCGCGTTTGAAGCTACACCATCTATTGTGCTGTCGGATGAACCTCGGAAAATGGATTGAAAACCCAACCGTGCGCGTCATATTGGAGTGGGGAGATCAATGACCCGCCGTGAGGTTTCCGGCAGTCCGGCCAGTCCGATTCTATAAATGAACATAGTGCAGCGATAGCTGCTGAACGTAGCTTAGGGTGGCACTTAATTTCGACTTATTTAATTTCGACCGGGACGGGTTGCCATATTGTTCTACCTCACGAAAAAATGATCTGTATGAAATTTTATCAAAAAATATTTATATTTAGAGGTAGCTCAATGGGGTCATACTTGGCACATATTGACAAAATGTATATTGTGAACGGGGATTCAGATGTGTGTCGCGCCTTTCCAAGCATTGTCATATTTGAGCCATAACACGTTTACATGAATGATTGATGCCTTCCTATTTGTTTCATAACCACAGTGTGTCTCGCCGCAAACGCGCTGTGACGCAATGCGTGATTCAACCAATGACCGTTCAGCGTAGTTTAGCTTATTTTGTTCGGTGACGGTAGCCCGCTGCCAGGCGCGTAACTTCAGCTCTTCTCCGTAGTACGATGGTTGGGAAGGGTCACGAGACTGCTAGCACTTACCGGGGTTACATGAGCGAATAAATGCGTATCAGGAATGGTTTTTTCTTCGCTGAGTACCTATAGTGATCCGTTTGTAAAACGCATTTACTCTGCTCATGTATTCCCGGTTACTGATGCGCAGGGGGACACTGCCAGTGTACGGCCACAGGGCAGGTCTCCGTGTCTTCGTGATGTCAGGGAGAGGACGTGCACGTGAAAAAGATAAGTTGTGTTTTGCTAAGCCATTTCAGAACATTTTTCGCTAGCCAGGCTCAAATTGACAGGCCGCAACAAACGCTGTTCTAGAATCCCTCGATGAGTGAGAGTTGAAGGATTGAGTGAAAGCGCTCAGTTTTGACACAAGTGCATCGAACACCAGCCTCAATGCAGGAGCCTGCACGATCATCGAGCAGCGGCTCGAGCAGGGCTTGCTCCATCTGACTTGCCACGACATTTACGAGTTTGTTCAAAGACACTTTCAGCCTGCCTCGGCCCGTCCAGCGGCCCGGACGTTGTTTTGCTTAAGCGTTTCCATAAAAAGTGGGCGTCTAGATGGAACGAAGCCATAAACCTTCAAAAACTGTGACATGTCCCACCTCCACAACCCGCGTGATGCTCTTGCACAGTTCGGTCGTATATCCTTGGCCGCCAGCATTCACGCAACAACCGTGAGATGCTGGAGCTGGCCATCACTGTCCTCGGTGGTACACCTCTACTATAGCTTCAGTTCAGTGTCTAGCAAGTCCACGGAAGACTTCGTCATATCACAACTGGCTTCACAAGCTTCTTCAGCATCCTCGGTATGGACACCGATTTCCTCTTGAAGGATCCGATTCTTTGGGAGGTCAACCATTCTACAACGGCGCCATGCGCTACATGAGGTCTCTTCACGCCTCAACGACTTCGCGGAACGACCACCCCTGTGGCGCAGTTGGCAAGTGCGTTCACGTTTGGCGTGGGAGGTCCTTGGATCAAAGCTGACCTCTGGCAGCGTTTTCCTCGGCCGGCTCCTACCCAGGAGATGGCAGTAACTGGGGAGTGTTCGCTCGGTCGTGGGGATTACCGCTGTGCCAGCCAGCGCCCCCGGCCGCAGGTACACGGGCCTGATCCGCCTTTAAACAGATCCTTCGGTCCGGTGACATGTCCCGAGGGCACGGCCTCGCTTCATGTCCCGGAGCAGCCCTCTGACCTGCCGGGCCCGAGAAATCGGGATAGCCCCAGCGTGCGCACCAGTGCGGTGCCACCTGGGGTGCGTGACAGGAAGCGTGCGGTCAAGGCTGTCCCGCGTAGTGGGTGCCGAAAACGCTTCGTACCACTGCCGTGTATATAGTGTACTAACCCAGTATGAATGTGTGCTACTAACGATAAAAGCCCGGGTTGGGCAACAAAAATATTTAAAAAAAAAAAAGACTTCGCGGAACGAGGCATTTTGTTGTGGCCAGGAAATCGATCTGACCCCCACGAAGGATAAAGACTAACAGCAGCTCCTCATGTAGGTCGTCGAGGAGCAAAGACGCAAGCATTCTGACATACGCAAGGCGATCGTAATTTCTAAGTAGGCAAGACTAGCCGACGAATAATGTGTACAAGTGTTGGCTGATTGCGGATGATACCGCTTTCTCTTTTCATGGAGTTATGCTGTAAGTTATGCATACCTTCAAAAGAATTATGTACCTCATATGTACCTGTATATCTGAGATTTAGGTGCTGAAACGTTTCGATAAAGTCTTGGCAACGTCCAATGTCATTGTGAACATAAGAAATACACGTGGAAATTAAAATTTCGGTAAAGCTGTGTTTTTCACGAAAATGTGAACTTTGACCTGGTTGAGCTACCTCTAAATAAACATATTTTCCAAAAATGTTTTACACACAACGTTTTCTCGGGTGGTAGAACAGATTGGCTGCCCGTCCCGTTGAAAATTCTCAAAACGAAATTTTAGCCCCGTTTTAGTGCCACCCTAACGTAGCTACTGAACTGGAATCACACTTTGGATGAATTTCTTTAATTATATCCAAACGAAAAGGTACTGCTGTCAGTTTTAATATACTTAGACCGGGAACAGATTATATTCAGCTTATCATACAAATTGATAAGTTGGTCCTATTTATTTTCTTTTTGGGACAGGTCAATTTAGTTTTGGTGGCACCGTGAAAGCCTGTCACATTTTTGTTTTATTTTTGCGGATTAGCCGCTCAGTGTTCCTCACTTCTCTATATTTTCGTGTCTAAATCTTCTCCCTCTCCCACTCTACCAGGTATCGATGGGGACCGGTCCGCCGTGGGTGGAGGGTTTCTCGGGCCCGCCGGGACCGTCCGGCTGCACCGCTGACCCTGCTGATGAGGCCACCAGCGAGGTGACTCAGTTCGGCACGACGGCCGGTGACGAGGACGAAGACCTGGAGAGTTTTCTGAGCAGTAGCGCAGAGGCAGAGAACCAGCTCCAGTACCGGCGGCTGCAGATGAAGTCCTGCTCGCTCCGCTTCAGGGATGAGCGCGACGAGGTGGAGGTTTGTACCGGCGCACAGCCGCGACTCCTGCACGATATCGCTGTCTTGTCTTGTGACTGCATAAGTTCGAAACCGCTGGATATTGATGATTTTATGTTATGGATGGCGGGGCTGGCGCTCATATTTGCTATTTGTTTAATATTTGCCCCCATCCCTTCTCCATGGAGCGCGACTACCTTTATTGTAACAAAATAGAAGGGCTGATGGTGTCTGTCTTTGTAAATCGTTTTAAAGTTGGGCGCTTGAAACATCATTCGTAACCCCCTTATATCCGTTTTATGTCTAGTTAACAAGCGAACGGTCATTTGCCTGCGACTACATGCTGATGAAATTAATAATCACCATGTGACCAGCCCCAGCCAATCTCTGGCCCTGAAAAGCAATGAGTTACCCGCCGTCCCAGTGATGAACCTAGGAGCGCTGAGTTCGTCTGGTGGTGCGATAGCGCAATGGATCGATTGTTCTCAGACACGTTCGGCTTTAATAGCTGCTCTGCACAGCGTAATGAGTTTTATGCTAGACGTACTGGAAATATGATGGACGATTTGTAGGTATGGGCTTTGAAATAGATCAGACATTGGTTATTGGCTTCATGAACGATGTAATTAATCAATCTCGCCGGGGCCTGCAATATGGGGCTCATTGGCTAGTGTCGTGATATTTAATGTCTATCTGGATTGGTAACTTGTAGCATACAGGCACCCGTGATGAATGTGTGCCCTTACGCAACCGTATGTTCTTTTCAGTATCAGAACACCAAAGGAGATCTCTTCAAATCAAGTGTAACCTGTGCATGTGTATTATGGATATTTATTTTGACAACGCAGTTCACGTTGCAAGTCACGTGAGTATCGCCGCCTGAGTGTCATATGCCTTATGAATGTTTTTGTATTTCCGGCGGATTTTCATTTGTTCGTGGGGATATTGGGAGGAGAGTTGCCCTTTGCACTTTTCTTAGGATAGTTGCTGAACTTCATATACTTTTTTCTAAATCAAAACTGGCTAGAGTCTTTGTTTGCGCTTCTGATGTTCCTTTATTTCGGTTGGGCTCTCACGTCAGTAGTAAAAAAGAACACACATTCACCACATCGACGTTTTTACATATTTGATTGTGGCATCCACTATTGGCAGCATTTGCCAGTTTGCATAGCTTCCTCGCATTTACATTGTCCTGATTCGTGTTGGAATTCAAATTAGTGTGAACAATGTGCTCCATTTCCGGAGCATTCGAGGTAATGTTTGCGAGGTGCCGTTGATTTGGAGACATTAAACCGCGCTGCGGGCGGCTGTAATTTCGCTGCCCGGAGAGCTTTAGCGCTGACGTCGGTACGTTTCCGTTTCAGAGTGTATTTATCCGTGTCGAGTGTGGTCACCACCGCTGTGCTGTGCGTCATTATGCTGTTGGCTGTGGGTGAGGAGCTGACCGACAAGCAGTCCATGCTTTATAAGGTAGGTGCTGAGGCCAAAGGGGTTGCTTTGACGGCATACCTACGTGACCATATCCGCTGATCTATTTCGCTCTACATACAACATGTGATGAAGGTAGAATGTTCAATATGTAGAACGACACTAAGAAGGTTCCTTTAACTGCTTTGAAAGAAGCATTGCGTGAAAATGTTTCGTGCCAGCAAGTGATGTGGCTATCACGCATTTGCTATTCGCTCTTCTTAAATTCGAACTCTTCTTGATTAGTCATCAGGTTGAAACCGAAGGAACAAATTAAAATGTTACACAGCTGTGAAAAATGGTCTGAGATTAATTTATATCGAAGCACGGGGCGAGCTTTCAGTGTCGCTCAACCTCACGTTGGAAGAGATTAGCCCGGTCCGCTTGGAGACGTGTTACCAGGCTGTTTGTGTGTCTATGTGCTGCAGATGTCTTTGTTACCAGGCTGAATGTGTGTCTGTGTGCGGCAGGTCTCGCGGAGGATAAACCAGGAGCGCAGGTACCGGCTTCTGCTCACGTTCATCTGTATATACACCATGGCCGCCTCTTCCGTACTTGCTATGGTAAGCTTTATTTGGAAACCAACTCCGGTTTGTCCTTTTCTCGTAATGGATAAACATTCATTCATTTATCGATCATGGCCAAGTGTCTCTATTTTCTCTACGTTCGTCAGTGTGTATTTTGAGAGTCCTGTCTTTTCTCGCTGGTGTATTTTCTGGATCTCACCGCCTCACTCCGACCACCGGTTCGTCGGCCGTTCTATCGGCTGTCGGCACGTGTCGCCGGGCGCGGCGGGCCGCCCGGGGCCGCGGTGGTCCCGGCCGCACCCCGCCCGTCAGTCCGGTGATAAGTCACGGCCCCGTCCAATCAGAGCCGTCTCCAGGCGTCGCCGCGGGCGACACAGTCGCTCCCGCCGCCGGCAGGCCGAGACCGAGTCAAATGTCAAGTGGAGCCTGTCTGTCATTAGGCACGATACGCCCGGCGGCAAAATTCAGAGGGCGCCGCGAATCGATCTGGTCCCCGACGGCGGCTGTCTTTGTCCGAGTGGTGGGGAATCCGTGATCGGATGGAGACGAGCTCTTGGGTACCCTCTGACACCACTGGCGGCGAATCGAGCGGACGTGCCTTCTTCTCCAAACAAAGGCTCGTCACGGGAGATTGCATCGGCTGTGAGCCCTCTCGCTGAGGCGCGATAGATACCACACCCCTCCCGCTCCCCTCTTTAGCCATCCCCTTCACGTCGCTGGCCACTACACTCCGGGCCGTCCCAGCCGCGCCACCTCGCTCCCCGTACGGCCTCCCCTCAATCCATTCCTGTTCTCTGTCTATCCGGCCCTGTTATCACAGAACGCGTCGGTCGCGATGTCTGCGGCCGATCAAGCTGTCCCGGGCCGATCGCCGGCGTGCGCAAAGAGTAATGAACAGTCGGTACGGAACGGTCTCGGTCACGGCCATCCGTTTTCGTCAGTACTGCCTATATGCACAGCTCGCTTGATTTATGTAGCGGTGGTCCGACTTTTTATTCATTTTCATGCAACATATATGCAATAAGTTTGTCAGGAGGTGATGAATAAACAACAATAACCGTGCAAAATGAGGAAATGTGTGTTATTTTTACTCACAGTAGTTTTCATTATCACTCTCTTCAGACATTTATCCACCAGCATCCAGCGCGAAAGGTGACGATTTTTAGTCGCACGGCTCCACTGACCACTCAGCCTGACGACTTGGGTCGGCTCAGAACGGGCCAGCTTCAGTGCCTAACGACCACCAGTTGGACTGTGTGTTCGCCAGAGGGGCGGTCGGGGTACGATGAAACTCGCGGTAATGATTATTCATGAGCACGTGTAGGAATGACCCAGGACGAGCGACTACGGCGGGGAGAGAAAAGAGTTGAATTGAAATGGTCTGTTTCTGTGACTGCGGAGCTTGAGGATATCAGAGACAGAAAAGAAAGACTGGCACGGTGACGGTGACAGGTATAGATGACGCCTGACATTTGCAATGATGTCCATTCCTTTATCGTAAGGACGTAAGATATCATAGGTGTGAGCTTGCCTCAACTTCTTTGTTTTAAATATTCATTATACCGTCTAACGCTTTGTCATGACATCTTTAATGATGAATACCGTTCCTTACTTCGCGTGAGATGGATTATGCTCTGAAGTCTCGACTTTCTCCATCTAATATAATTTTGAGTGCTGATCTGTACCGTTTGCCGTATCTGTCAGATCTCTGAAGTCTCTCATTTATTGCCAGATATCATATGAGGTGACCAGTTCCCTCGTGTGAGATGACCTGTGTAAGGTGTCCTGTAGCTCTCCCGCCGAGTAGCTCATTCTGCTGATGACCTGTGCCCCCTTCCCCCGCAGCTTTCATGTGAAGTGTCCTGCGCGGGTCCATACCCGGACCCTGCGGCTGCCGGCGCCGCTGAGATGCTGGACACCGTGCTGCAGCCGGCGCGGGCCGCCTCTCTCCAAGTGAACCTCTCCTCACTGACTGCCGGGAGCGGCGCCTGTTCGGCCGACCCCGCGGCCTGGGCAGCAGCCCTCTGCGGCCCCGCCAGCGACCCAGACACAGCCGCATTCATACGAACTCACTTCCTACCGTACTGCGTGTGTACGTGCCGGCCGTGCGACGGGCCGGGCCCGGCGGCGGCGGCTGTGGCCGCGGGTCCCGGCGAGTGCCGCCGGTTTGACCTGGTGACCTCGTGTCCGGAGCCGGAGTATTACGTGCACACGTGGCTGCTGGTGATGGTGGCGCTGGGCGCCTTCCTGCGGCTCGACTTTGAGGTGAAGGCGCTGATGACGCTGGGCCTGGTGATGCTGTACGTGCTGATGGTGCTCGGCGCCTTCTCCGACGTCTTCCTCATCGCCGAACTGTGAGTACTGAGCACTGAGCACTGAGTCCTAACTATACCACAAGGTGTTCGGATGGATTATTTGGGCTCTCTTACAGCAACTGTGATAGCGGAGCGTATTGCGGAGTTAAGCGGGGAGACAGAAATAGAAGCAGCTGCACAGACTGATAGAACCGCCTGTTGTCTTTTTTCTTCTTCAGGAGGGAATGTTTTTTTTTTTGTAATTTGAGCATTTTTTTTAACTGCTTGTTACTAACGGCGAACCTTAATTGGAGGTCCATTACTGATATAACTATTCTATTTATTTCTTATACTGATACGAAGCAACAACCTGCTTGTCTAAATTACGACATGCAGTTAGTATTTATGGTTATATGTCGTTCTTTTCATAGTACAAAGATAGCAACCTGTTCTTCTAATGAGGACCCTATTACAGTTAACGTTCCAAGTAATCAGTAGCGGCGGAACACGTTCAATTAAGGGGGGGGGGGCACTGCCGACTTTTGGTCCCATTCTTTCCATGCAACGCCCATAGGGCTAATGTTAAAATGCCAAAATCAAAGGGGGGCACGGTGCCCCGGTGCCCTCCCCGTTCCGCCGCCTATGCAAGTAATCGTTCTGATTCAGGATGTGTAATGGCAACATTTTTTTAGAAGCTTGATATTAGTCTACTGATCTTCCTTTGCATCAGTTTTACTCGAGCACAATCATATTGCTAACTTAGACTCATTATCATTGAAAATCAAGCATATCTTGTAATTGATCAATCCCTTTGTCCACGAAAATTTCGGTTGATCCTGACACTGGGCTTCTGTCGTTGCGATCAGGTACGAGGGCGCGCGGCGGGAGTCGACGCTGACCACTCGGATCGTCTCGCTGGTGGTGATATTCGCCGAGATCATCATCTACCACGGACGACTGGGAGAGCTCACCGCGCGGGTCGACTTCCTTTGGAAACGACAGGTCAGTGCACGGCACGGGGTCGGTCAGCTCAGGTCAGGTCAGGTCACGTCAGGTCAGGTCAGGTCAGGGGGGGGGGGTGCCAGGCTGGGAGGGCTGTTGACTGATGGTCATGCTGGGTACTGGCGCCGCACGACTAAGGTGAAGTCAGGTCAGGTCAGGTCACGGGGGTAGTGGCAGGCCGGAAGAGTCGATAATTGGCTGCGGGTTATGCGAGATGCTGTCATGGATCAGGCCATATGTCAAGGCTAGATCAAGTCACCATCGATCAATCGTAGATCCGATCAGATCTCTGGACAGTTGTGGAGGCAATTTACAATCGAAGCTACACGGCTGGTCGGATCAGTCAATTGTTTTCCTGATCAGACGGGTGGTTAAAATAGGCTCTAGGCAAAGCACTAACTGGCTTCAGCTAATATGGAATGCAGCCAGTCCGTTTCATTTCGCTGCTATCGCTGACAGGCTATCCATGTTTATGAGCCACCCGTTTTCAATATTTTCCAGTATTTATAGCCGATCCAGCGTGAGTTAGGGCCAGTGTGATAGTTTCAGTGGGTGGGCATGGTCGTTTTAAGTGGGTGGGCATGGTCGTTTTAGTCTCCAGAGGCCTGATTTTCACATCGACATTGGCATTTCAAGCATTTATTGCTAGTCCCACAATGGCATCGTGATGTTATGTGTGTCGCTACCACTCTGCATGCTACAATACATTCGATATGAAATACATCCCATTCTTATGGAAGACGAGAAATGTACCCTTTCTGAATTTAGGGTGTCTGTATTTGACTATATTTGTGTCAGACTGCTACGAAAGATTTTCAACCTCCATGAACTTCCGACAACTTGAAATGAGATAATTAAGTTTTTATTTCATTGGGAAAATTACGAGCTTTGTCTTTGATAGGATGGTCTTCTCCAGCCATTGTTGGATTTTTTTATGCAATAATTTAAATTGCTTATGTCTATCATAGCTAATGATGTAATTTATAGCATGGTTTACCGTTATACTTTGAAGTTTGATTATGCTTGTAGCTGTGAAAACTTGTGATGAAGCTATTATGAATGTGCAATTGCCGAGGCTATAAGTTGAAGCACATTGCGGAAGCATGTCAAGTTGCGGAGCTGAATTTTACTCTTCACTTGGTACAGCTGGTAACTTTTCTCGCCCACTTAGCTACTTGCAATGCTCGATTTCTTCGTACCTTTTCATTATATAATGTCGATTGACTGTTAATCTTTTACCAATCGACTGTCGTCTCACCAAGTAATCTTCCTTCCACACACGTGTTAAGCTTACCGGGTCTGTAATACTCACTGATATTGCTAGGGAACAGTTGCCAATGCTCAGTTGTGGTGTAGGTAGGTATATGCGAGCTAAGCCTCTGCAGGTAAATTTAGCCTGGTAGGAATATGTCGAAGAGATAGCCTACCGTGCTCGATAGAGGTATACTGGGATGCCTACTTGGTATTGTACCGGATACGGGATATAAATGATTCTTCATGGCCCCGAGTGGAAGATAAGGATGATGCTTTTTCTGGAACACGCGAAAAAGACCCGATCTTCGAGTGAGCCATAAATCATCCTATACCTTTCCATGTGGAGGTTTATTAATTGCCGGTCCCGTAGCTCAGTTGGTTAGAGCGTTGGACTCCGCGTGGTGAGAGCACGCGTTCCCGGTTATGACAGTCCGGGTTCGAAGCGCGACGGGCGCTCGACATTTATGGGCCTCCTGACAGGTATGGCTGCGGTTGGTGGCAGGCCGTAGCCAGGCGAAGTCAGCGAGGGGACCGGCCGTGCGCGGCTTTGTGCGCACGTTAAACTTTGGACTCTAAATTCTGCCATAGAATCGGAATTGCGCGATTGGAGGGTAGAGGGCAGGGTCATCGCAACAAGCTTCGCTTAGCGGTGGCTCTGTCCTTGTGAATCCTTCCCATCAAAAGGTTCGGACTAAATTTATAAAAAAAATTAATAATTACTTAAATCATTGTATTTAAATATGTTAATTGATAAACAAAAGATTGATATAAGTTTGTTTTTAATTCATTAGTTTATAGACCTCCGTATACCGAGGTCTATGCGGGTATGATTAGTTTCATAAGAACAACCATAAATATGGTTCGGTCATCACTTGAACGCTGGATGTTTGGCTATGAACCCTCGAGGCTTTACCTTTGCATCTCAGAAGCATGTCAGAAGGATGCAAAGATAACAAATTATGATCTTTGCATCTCAGAGAATTGCGAAATTGAACTATCTCTGCACCTCATTGAAAATAAACCTCTACTTGAAAGATAGGCATTTAGCTAACCTCCAAAGTCCAGCAACTGGACTGAAGCTTAGCTATGAGTCGCAGTACGACTATTGCTTATGTTTACATAATAAATTTAAATTTATTTCGTCTTAATGTTTTCAGGTCCACGAGGAGCTGGTGACTATGAACGAGTCACGTGAGAACAATGCCCAGCTATTGCACAACATACTGCCGGGTCACGTGGTCAGCCATTTCCTGTCGGCCCAGCGAAGTCCGGACGTGAGTAACATCGTAGTGCGGGTAAAAGTTTCGCCGTATGGTCCAGGTATGAGTGACTGTATAGTCTGGATGTGAGTGTCACTGTATGCAGTCCAGACGTGAGTGACGCGCCAAACAGTGATGTGTGAGTGACGCCGTTTTACGAATGTGAGCGACGCCGTAGTTCAAACACGAGTCATGTCACTGTAAGGTATGCCATAGTTCAGATGTGAGTGCCGAACATATGTAGTTCGAACATGACTGTCACTGCCGTCCCCGTGAAACACTGGCCAGGGGCTTCAAAGCGGGAAGAGCCGACTCAAGTCGGCCGTCATATAACTTGAGTCGTCTATTTGAATTATTGCCATTTTTTAAAGGCATTGCAACCGTTTTTCCATTACTTTTTTGATGACCTTGGGTATTTTCACCGATATCATTGTCCACCGTCTTGAACCAGTGAATACTATCGAACTGTGAACTTCATCTACCAAGACCCTATGTTCGGTCTGACCTGACTACTCCTATCCCCGTGTATCGTAGGCGTGCTGGCCTTTGACCTCGTGACCTGTCACCAGGAACTGTACTCGCGGCAATACGACTGCGTGGGAGTGCTGTTCGCCAGCATACCCAACTTTGATTGCTTCTACAGCGAGGACATCAACAAAGGCCTCGAATGTATCCGGGTGCTTAATGAAATCATAGGTAATGTACCGCGCTAGCTGCGAAATCAATGTTTTTCATGGTGTAATTAGCAGTTCTGCGCTGATGTACTTTTTATGCGTAGTTATAAATAGAATCCGCAGGCTGGGTAGTACACAATTTTAAGCGTAGTTTCCACTTGTAAACTTTTAAAGGGAATCGCAGGGTCAAGACCCGATCAGGCATTTGACGGAGCTTGACGGTAAATTGATGACTTTATATTTAGATTCTCTCACCTACGGCTGGATGTACACACATACCAACTTTTGGTGTTTTCACAGTTACGGCTAATGACTGGCGATTTTACCAACAATTGTTCACGGAATAGCCACTTAATTGTGTCCGTTATCACTTGATTGACTCTGACCATTTTGTTTTGCAGTTGATTTTGATGAGCTCTTAGACGGCGATAATTTTGTGTACGTCGAGAAAATCAAGACTATTGGCAGCACATATATGGCTGCGTCAGGTCTCAATCCTGACTTGGAGGTAAGCAGTTTCTACCCAACTGGCTTACTGCAGCATGTGGTGCACGTGTACGCACAGACTAAAATAGTTCTTGTATTGCATATTTATATAATATGCAATACAAGCTCTTTTTGATGATACAAGCTCTTTTGATTTTGATGAGCTCTTAGACGGCGATAATTTTGTGTACGTCGAGAAAATCAAGACTATTGGCAGCACATATATGGCTGCGTCAGGTCTCAATCCTGACTTGGAGGTAAGCAGTTTCTACCCAACTGGCTTACTGCAGCATGTGGTGCACGTGTACGCACAGACTAAAATAGTTCTTGTATTGCATATTTATATAATAAAGGTATGTTTCTGTGTTGTTTTACAATACTTCAGTAAAACGATGTGCGTTAGGAATTTCACATTATTTTCACCGATGATCTCGTGTTTCAGAGTGGTGAGCGGCAAATGCACCTTACTGCGCTCATCAATTTCGCCATCGAGATGAAAACTAAACTGAAGGAGGTAAACAAGCACTCGTTCAACGATTTTCGGCTGCGGATCGGTAAGTGAGACGATCATAGCTAGGAACGCTGTGCTGCAGCACCAAATAGCTGTTTTGAGGCCACCAAGGCTGGCAAACTGATAACGTCAGGGGGCGCCGGAATATATGATACCTTTTACGCGGTCTAAAGGCCGACCCGGCAGTCAGTGCCATATTTTTAGGATTTTAACTTTGTCAAAGTCTAAAAATATAAGGAACGTAATCGTGAGTGATTATTCAGTTAACACAGGTCCATACTTCAATCGGCTAGTACATATGTCTAATATCACATGCGCGTCTTGGCGCATGCACACACAATTATGCCAAGTAAGTTTTCATTCAGTTAGTGTTCTCCAATGGTTTTTGTTTAGCTAAAGTAACTAGAAACATTTAGGATGCTGTTGTGGAGCTGAACATTGCCATGAATGACGAACTACTCCGCACACCGTTCAAGACCAATGCTTTCCGCATAGCGGGCTATTTTATCCATTGTGTGTCCAGCAAAACACGTACATCTTTTCAAATCGGACATTCTTCTTGCATTTCATGCAGTTCCTACGGGAACATTATCCAGCACAAAGCATAACAAAGGTTTGCTAGTGTAGGTCCATAGCCCAGCAGAGCTACTATACGCAGGCATCCATTACATTTGCGCTCAATGTAGCAGGGTCCACAGACTAAGCGATATGCGACTTATCGCAGTTATATTTCCCGTCAGCAGGGGCGCAATTTATGCGCAATATTGGTGGAAAGCTATTTCGGCGCCTGTGTGCCCGTGCTGACTTTGTACCCACGGTATCACAGCAGGACCAGAGGTTACAATCTTTGTCATGTCCGAAATCTGGATGCCGATATAGCGCCGTTTGCGATATCCATTCTCCGTCATGACATAAAATGTCCTTTCCTATTCTAGAGTTATCCTATTGTATTATGAAGCCGGGCGGGTCTAATAGAACCCACTATCGGTTTAATAAAAACATATTATAGGTGTCTTCCGAGGCATCAGTGTTCCTGCTTCCTTTTGTTTAATCAAGGTTGTTTTCATTTGAACCGTGATAAATGATCGGTCACAGCTGCGCTAAATAACGGTGGAGTGACACAAAAACGACCGTACTCCTCGCCTCCACAAGCCACAGTGATGCCACGGATGCGAGTTTTCCCTCATATGAGCTATGACCGCAAGGTGTTTTCTTGTGAGCCTTGTATTCGGCTAAACTTTGCTATGTTCAGACCATTATTTGTTACAAAGCCAGACTACTTGCCAGTGCAGTGTGCCAGTGCGGGCGCTTTGACGAAGTGGTGCTTCACAAGATTTGCTACTACACAATGATCATAATATTTTCAGAGTGTACCTATGCCGGTTGAAATTCGGTAGTTGCTTTGTACTTCCGCCTCACATTTGGGCGAGAACTTTGCAAAGTGCATTATATGATAAACAATTAAGGTAGCTAAGTTAGTCCCTGCTGTTCAGCATAGGACGAGAGGTAATAATTCGCATCATTTCTACCGCAGTGAGGCTTGGCTGGGAGCTGGGGCGATGCTCGGTAGCAATGGTACGTCCTTATCGGGGCAATATGCGTAATTAAAAGGAGTCTCTGCATTGTTGCACTTGTGCTCCCAGCTTGTCATCTGACAGCGAATTCATTGCAAGCTCGGTGACTGAGTCGTTAACTTGATCAACAGCGGCTGTTGGGTGCCCCGAGGTAGACAGGCACTCGATAAATGATGACATAGACGAGGCTATTGATTACTATCATGCTGTGATTTGTCGCCCTGATTGGCAATGTAGACGTTTTCACCGCCTAAACTACCCTAGCTCAAAATGTCACGGCTGCGCTTTTGTAGAAAAAGAGACATATAGGTATAATGTACAATGTATAATGTACATATTCTTATGAAACCCGTTAAACGAGTGCTTATTAAATAGCGATGCATCATGTTTCAAAATGAGAATGGCAGCATGGTAGCTGGATGATATGCACGATCGATTGCGCCTTGCGGAACGGCTTACACAGTCACGCTTTGAACAACTAACTATAGATGGCGCTAGTGGTAAACGCCTGTCGTTATGCTGTTCCGCAAGGCATGAATCCATGGGAGCCAGCCGATGTCCGTTCGCAGCAATAATTAAGACGAGGTTATAATGCCATTTTTTACTACGCACAATGTGTGCATGATGTTTTATGTCACCAAGTAAAACAAATTGCACATGTTTTACTTTAAAAAATAGTCGCCAAATTGGTCCCATCTCCATGAAGGAAATCTCTGCCAATAAACCCTTGGACTGAAAACCCGTATGCCGTTGCCGGGCGCCCGGGCAAGCTGGTTTACCATCTCTCTGAGATGAAGCTGTAGGTATGTCATTCTTTACGGCTGAAACCTTGGTTTGAGATCGGCTGATTGTTCCTGGCTTCTTCTGGTGTTGTTTCATTATCTCTCGGCCGCCGAGGGAAACCTCTCTGCTCTGTAACTGGGCGCCAGTAGGGATAAAATGGGATAGGGGGAGGGGTAAGGGGTGCTCTGTTAGTGGCACTTTTACGTCGTTGTGTCGAGGCGACATGTTACCACCTACGTGGAACGCTCATCGAGGGATGTGTTTGCAGTTTGCGACAGAGCAAATTATGAAGTCATAATCTATGTAGACATTTTGTAGGATAATATTACACTTGCCAATGGCTGGAGGTATAACCTTTGGACACATGAAAACGGCATTTTTTTCTTCTATGAAATCACCTCAATTAACTTATATCCGTGTAGGAGCTGACCACGTTTACACTTTACAGCCACGCTATGGGTACCGGTCTCGGTTGGCTGCCTATCGGTCGGACCGGCTCTGAGCTGTTTCCCGGTCTCGCCGCCAGGTGCCAGCTGCGGGCCGCTGGTAGGTGGCGTTATCGGCGCCAAGAAGCCCGTGTTCGACATCTGGTCGGACACCGTGAACCAGGCCAGCCGGATGGAAACCACCGGCGTGGCGGACCGAATACAGGTCACCCAGACGCTGGCGCAGGTCAGTTCAGGTCAAAGGTCATCTCTAGACGCCGGCGCAGGTCAGTGAAGGATAACTATAGACCCGGGTGCAGGTCGATGAGGTCTCCTCTGACTCGGTTCAAGCCAGATCAGGTCACCCAGACCATGGTGCAGGTCATTTCGGGTCAAAACAATATGTGTGTAAGGTAAGCCTTACATTCTTAGGTGTTGTTTTTACGAAAAACCATCATCTCACTCATAAGGTAAGCCTTAGTTTAGAACGTTGTACGCACAGTACGCAAATTATAGCAATGTCGCACTTTTTAAAGCCACTGACACAGGCGCTCTGGCTCCTTTTGCAAGCCCTCAAGCCGTTCAACGTTTCCAGACTTTTTGCCGATGATTAGGGATGATCCGGCCTGATTGCGCATACATTGACTACACCTGGAACTGAACATCATCAGCTCAAATCACTTGACACTCTTTTGATCATTGTGGCATGTGTCGTCGATAAAATGCTGAATATCCTTCGCAGTGCTACCGTTGTAATTTAATAATAGTGCATTGCATCTTATCTCTATCATTCTCCTACCTTCTCCGAGATTGGGTATAATACCATCGAGACTGTGACTTTGCATGCTCTGCGGTCGACTTCCTCATGCCAGCACTGATGGCTGGGCGCAGCTGATGACCATTTGCAGGTGCTTGAGTCTGCGCTCAGAGACCGACAATCGGCTTTTGTTCGTTCAAGTGCAGTTTTAACATTAAACTCTCCTACTTTATCTCCTTATGAGGATGCTATGGGTGTATATCATGCACCTCTCGGATTATGTATCTGGTTTCCAGTATGCATTACATATTGTGTGAGACTAGAAGTAGTTCGTGATCGTCTTCTTTCGTTTTCATTTCCGTTTGATGATACATTTTATGAAAGGTCACTTTTCGTGTTGCTTGCACTCAAAAGTGAAAGCTATGTCTGCAGGGTAAATCAGTGGCATCTTTTCCGGTAGAAGGTATATAATCCCAATTTTTGTCAGATTAAAGACCCGGGTGTTTCCATTCACCATGAATGGGTGAGTCTGTGATGGGTGCAAGAAAATCCCCGTTTTATACCGCATTATCAGTTCCAGGTATCGTCTTCCGGTAAAAATACAAACACGTAGGTAAACTGTGTGTTGCACCTCGTCTTTAGACTTACAAAAGCTGCGATTCAGGCCGTTTGCAAATGGACGGAGTTTTTATACGGCCGTAACATATGCACCTACGATTATTTTAGCTGCGCAAAGCTGATTTTCCAGCCCTCAACCTGGAGAATGTGTTATCTCCATGAATTTATATTGTCCCGAGCACCATGTTTTTATCAAGTTAAGTAACAACTAACAGCATCCGTTGGAAATTGTTTCCACTAATAGACGCTGCTTACTGCTCGTTATACCGTGCAGACGATGGCACCGCTCGGTCTTGAAAGGATTGCAGTCTAAAGGCTGAACCGGCTGCGCTGCTGCGCCCGTCCTTGAACCAGTCTTATCCAGTCCAACTGATCCCTTTGGCCAATCTGGGCCATTCTGACAATAAAGTCGTCAGTCTAACCTTGCCCAGTGTATCCCACTTTGACCCGATAATTTGCACGAACTAAGCAGACGTCCATAGCCCATGAAATTTTACCATTTCCTCTACCCACCTTAAGGCTGTTATCTCAGGGAACAACAGCGTCAATTGATCGCCTCTGACCCTCCCTCGGCCCCTCCCCACTGGGGAAGCTGACGACTGTTGCCATGGCTGGCTCTGGTGACATTGAGCCTTTATAGACTGTCATTGAGCCGTCTGGGTCTGGTGCAACGGCTGATGTCATCGTTCCGAAGCCGGGCAGAGACGCCAACATTTTTATTGACTGTCGCGAGGCGACGAGCCTTTACCGCATTTGTGAGGTTGCATGAATGATGACAGGCATTGCTGATTCCTTTATATTCGATTCATATAGAATTGATAGAAATAAACGGATGGAAGTTCCCGATTAACACATTTGAATCGCTGTGAGATGTGCTTGTTCCCACGATACTGACTAAAAAAACAGTCAGTCTAAAAACAGTCAGTCCACTACAGTTTTACCCTTTCCTTTCAAGTGACCGGCGTTCTTTCTTCCCACAGATCCTGGAGTGCCAGGGATTCGCCATCGAGTCTCGAGGCGTGATCCAGGTGAAGGGGAAGGGGCAGATGGAGACGTACTTCGTCAACGAGTACACGGGCACGTGCATGCGGCACCGACTGTGTCCGGCGGCGGCGACGGAGGGCGAGGACCCGGCGGCCGTCAGCCGGCAGGGCAGCACACGCCGCAACCTGGCCTCGGTGGTGTACGGCATGGTGCAGAACCGGCGGCGGATGACTCTGCGCTCAGGTCAGGTGATACCGGCCAGTCTGTGAGACCGGCCGACGGCCCGAGCGGCCACCTCTCTCCCTCCGTATCTTTCTTAGCGTCTCCCTCACCGCTTTCTTCCCGACCTTCCTCTCTTTCACTCCATTTCTTTTTTCTGCCCCCCCCCGCTTTTATCCCTCTCCCTTTCTTTCTGTTTCTCCTCTTCCATTCTCGTTTCGTTCTCTCTCTCTCTCTCTCTCTCTCTCTCTCTCTCTCTCTCTCTCTCTCTCTCTCTCTCTCTCTCTCTCTCTCTCTCTCTCTCTCTCTCTCTCTCTCCCTCCCAGTACGCTGCCTGAGGTACCTGTCCCAATCTGACCCTACCAAGCTCGCATCTCGCTTGGCACCAAGAGCAGCATTCCGACTGCACTGCCGCTGCACCAGGCTGACTTGCTTCGGGGACTGCTTTGGGAACCGTCTGGAATGCCACCTGCCCTGCAGAGACCAGCTTGTACATAGATTCACACGAATGACTTGGTCGCCGACCATGATTTTTGACTGGCGACTCTCCGATCCATGCCCTGTGAGGCCTCTGTGCTGCATTTTGTTGATCCCTGGCGATTCTTGTCTTTCGGGTGTATATTTTTGGGATACGCTTTTTTAATATTCACATTGCTTGCTTTTGTTCATGCGGCTGCTGCTTTTCGAGGGTTTTATTGAAACGTTTTATATAGCGACGTTTGGTTTACCGATCGCTGGTTATGTTTCACTCATCGCCTTTATTGATAAAACCTACAACGTTTTATGCAGACGATGCTTTTTTATCGTGCTGCATATTATTGCACCCGTGTTATGTTTTGCCTTTCCATATGCACGCTGTTTTCTGCCGTATTTGACCATGCACCTTACATGCCATATATCTAGACGTGTACTATTAATTTGGAATTTATGTTAAGCTGTCTATTGCTTGTGAGGAAATTTGCGTAACTAACTTTTTGGGAAGCCTGTGTGAACACGATGGTCGTCGAGTCGATGCTTTGTACATACGCCGTGGTATTTGCTATTTGCTTTTTGCTTCGCGTCCGGTCTGGCTTGTCATGGATCATGCATTCCTGCACGCATTTTCGATTAGCCTCATGAATTTGGTGACCTCTAAGAGCTTCTGCTGTATGTGTACTTTTGTCAACGGGTGCCATGTTAAGTAATGATATGATGCTGCATACTAGGATGGCATACTATGGATCTAAAAAGCCGTAATTTTGCTAAACACTGCAGTGAGCTAGTCATTGTGCATCGTACCTGACGTGAACAAACGCGCCATATCTCTGTATGATCCGTCTATGTGAGAGTTTTATCCTCACTGGCGTGTGGTTGTGTGTTATTTCTGTAACCTGTTGGGCTGCGGCTGTCTCTACGTTCATGTTCTGGCTCTGTGCGCGGCTCCAGATTGTAGTGATGGGTGTGTCTCAACTCCCCATTCAGTGGACTGAAAACGGCGAGCCAGACTCTGGCCGGGTCGATCAGGTCAGGACGGACAGAACGGGGTGTCTGAACGTGCCGTACTGTTCGCAGTGTCTCGTCGCCAGCAGAAGAGGTCATTTCAGACCCGTCGAAGACCACCGACGCTGGCACCCGGCGGCACTGCCTCGGCCCCGGGCAGCCCAGTGTTGTGAGGCGGATCCGCCCGCCCCACCCCCGCCTGCACAGTCACCGCCGCCCGCCAGGAGCGGACGCCATCGTCCCTCGTCAAACGGGTCGAACTTTCCACACAGAAGCCTCATCGGAAGACGGTGGAAGAGTCATCAGAACCACCGTCATCAGAAGCATGGTGTCCAGCTTTGGCGGCGGCGGTCGACCCGTATCCTGCCTCGGCGGTGCCCCGTGTCCTCAGAGGTAGAAAACTCCGAGAGGGCGTGGGGACCGCACCCTTTGTACCGCTGCGCCGCTGCTATCGGCGTGTCGTCGCCCTCATTGTGTCATAATAATAAATATCTATTTGTGAGAAGTGTCTTAATGGGTCGGGTGTAACTTGTAGGGAATGCAGTGCCAATAGTCACCAGATGGTAACGTATGCAAATATTGTTCAGTGAGTGCAAATTATTTCGTTAATCGTGGTGATGGAAGTTGAGGGTTAGTTTCTTGAGTGGAGCACGGTATGCGGCATTCTGATCCCCGACCGATAGCATCCGATCCTATATGTACAGTGTACACTATACGTATACACACTCGTAAAACCATGCAATAGCGTGACTTTATCTCATTTGAAATGCTCGCGGTAGTTTTAACCGATCATTTAGCACGTATATAACAACGATGTAAGTGGTAGGTATATTGTAGAAATTCAGCACCGACCTTATCACACACGCACACGCACAAGATCCACGAGGCACCTGACACGAGTTAGAGGGCGGGCTGTCCCGGCTCCGGAGATCCGGGGCGCGGGGACACTCGGCGCCGACCGAAGGCAGACGGCGCCGGCACGGGGCACGTGCGCCACGTGATACACGTGCCGCCGCCGACCGCGCGCCCGCCGTGGTTAGTCGATCATAAATAATCAGAGTGTTGCATTGGATCTAAGCTATCCGTACACCGGTTAGGCGCGTCCCGGCTGGCCGCGCGCGTCTCCCCTGTCCGGCGCGCGGTGCCGGCCGGAACGCTCTGGGTCACATCGTGTTAACACGGGAGCCGGCTGTATGAAAGTCACAAACTTCGAGACCGTCGATCACATCGGTCCGGCGCACACATCACTAATGCCACATCTGTCCCGGTGGCGGCCACAGACACATACACAGGCCCGCCCGGTCGCACTGGGCGAGCCGGCACTGCAGTTCATGACTACACTGTTGGATCACAAGGAGCTCCGAGCTCGAGATGGGCGGACCGGCCGCCTGGCGCGCGTCCCACGGGCTCCGGCCGGGCTCGGACGCGTCTCCTGCGTCAGCGGTGGCCGGGTCTGGACTGTAGCGGGCGTGTCTCACGGCTGTCCTGCCGCGTCGCTCACACAGCCTCTGTGGTAGGTCGGTCTGGTCTGACCTGACCTGACCCGACCTGACCCGACCGACCTGACCCGACCCCGACCGGACGGGGCGCGCAGCTCCGTCAGCCGCAGCGATGCGGCACACGAGAGTCACAGCTTTCTGAGCGCGCAAAGCGCCGCGTTTCACCGCGACAGGCTGAGACTGCGGTCGTGGCTGGCGTCGGACGACTGCGACAGCTTGCGGAAGAACGGATGTCTGTAACAGAGCGAACGGTTCGGTTAGAGGATGTCTGCGCCCGGACAGCGGATGTTGAGAGCACGTGAGACCCAAACACGGGACGTGACCCCTGTCAGGGGCGAAACAGCACCGCGACACGGCGCCACATGCTCATGAATAAATGCCACCCGTCTATATGACCGCATTAGCGGGTGGTGTGTCCAGAAGCCGTAATGCAATAGTGCGGCATGCATAATGCGCATTTGATTGGAGCCCCATAAATAAGGTTCATAGTGGCTCCCGTGTGTGCGACGCAGCGACTCCCAATCGTCCGGCTAAGCCGAGACCTCGGAGTGGACATCGGCTAGTGAAAGTGACCTAAGTCGGCGGTTAGAACATGGGTTCTCTCTTTCATGTTAACGACGCCGGACGAGTATTTACCGCTACGCCGTGCTAGACGGTTGATCACACAAAGCTTAGCACTAGCATTCCTTTAGAAATTAGACTGCAGCTCCTTTTTCATTCAGAGCCCAAGGCAAAGGTATTTTCTCTTTCAACTAAAATGCACAATGCTTCCGTTAATCTCTCAATTCTTTCTAAAACTCCTCCCATAACCACACACGCATGCTGTTTCATCTCCTTACCTGAGTGCGTCCCGCAGGCTGATGCGCTGAGTGGGCTCGTACTCGAGCATCCTTTGGATGAGATCAAACAGTTGGGCGTGCTCCACGTCACTCGACTGCATGTAGCGCTGTGAAACAGAGAGCACAGTCAGACACGTGTGAGACGGCCGGGCGCTGACCCGGCGCCCGGGTACGACCTAAGTCCCGTGACCTACGACCCGTGATCACGGGTGTGACCGCTGTCACCGCATGGCGCTGAGTCAGTGTTTGTACCCGGTCTGTGTCTGGTCTCAGCAATCAGCAGACATGTCAGACAAACCTTCCGTGTTTAGACGGAGTCCAGGCGGTAGCGACTAGCGAGCTCTAATAAAGCCATCGGTAAGCGTTCCCCACAAACGGCGGAACTTTCAGTCAACACGGATAAACCTCGGCTTTAGTCAGTCCCTGAGTGGACATTGAACACGAAAACAACACAAAGAACAGGGATGGATTCCCTAGCCGTGACCGTGACGGTACGACAGACCGGCAAAAAAGCGAACATAAAACACAAGCTCTCGTTTGTCTGTGATATGTCTTTTGGTGATTATATAATCAACCCACTTTGTTCAATGTCCAAGTGTCCAGTGCCCTTAGTTTAGGAAATCGTTTATATGTTTGCATGCAGTTTCCGCGCTTCGTGTGGTTTCCAAGCGGACATGCCCTTCAATATTTCAATGTCACGATTTAACATTAACTGAAAGTGAGATCACCATTAATCGGCGTGGTTTATAGCCGACAAAAAATACGATGCCGTGTCGAACTACCGTTGTCGGCCGTTTTGGTAAACCCTGAAGGCGACAGGGCGGCGGAAAGCCGTGACGTCAGCTGCTCACCTTCAGGGGTTTGCAGTTTTCCCGGACGTAGCGGGCCGCAGAGGTCTTCTCGTCCCAGTCCAGTCGGCCGCGGTAGAAGTACTTGGTTTTCGTCTTTTGACTCATCCTGCAACAGAGGCGGGGTGGGCCGGGGTCAGGAGAAAGTCGCGGTGGTCGCACTCACTCTCCCACGGTGGACGGCGGTCCCACGACGAATCTCGGTAACCTCCCTGTCCGGGTCAGCCGCCGCGTGACTGCGCCGGGCCGCGCCGCCCCGCGCGCGCCGCTTTTATTGAACATGAAGCGATCGGCGGCCAGCGTGATCGAGCTGTTCACGACCGGGCTCTCTCGCTAACGCGAGCTTTGAACAGCGATCAGCACTTGACGCCGAGAGGTGCGCCGCACGCAACGCACTCAATCGCGTCCGCAGAATGACAATTAGAACAGGACCGGCGATCGCGCTGGCGCCGGGCAGTGCCAAAGAAACCCACCAGCAGGGCACGAACGAGAGCTACTTAGGCCGAGACTGATCCCGCGCTACCATGCAACGGCCGGCCCCGGCCGGCTTTGTTGGATTTGCACGGCAGTCGGCACACGTGCGGCTGACCAGTCGCCAAAACAACACCGCGGCTGCAGCCGCAAAAATCCAACCCCCGCCTTCCCCGATGGCAACAGCGCCCGCGGTATAAAAACGGCTGCATAATCTGACATGCAAAGACCAGTTGGGGCGGGCTGCATCGCCGACATGAGCCTGTATCGCCCGATCGGAGCGTTCGGCAGCCGAGTTCGCTCGGACGCTCGTATAACCACCGCCCGCTGCTCGCGCCCGCCCGTCACGACGTGCAGGCTACCGCAGTGGGACCAACGCCAGCCCGGCACTCAAACTACAGCGACTCAATTTAAATTCACTTTACAAGACATCCGTACGCTCCCGGTGATGTGTGGTTGCTCACCTGTACGGCACCGGGCCCAGGATGCGCTCCATCATGGCCAGATGTTCGCGGTTGTCGTGGGTCTGGAACAGGGTGAAGCCCAGGTAGAGCTCGAACAGGATGCAGCCAATACTCCAGACGTCACAAGTTTGCGACCAGCCCAGCTCTGAAACGGACAGAGATAAACGTCAGCATTAGCGACAGGTAACAAAGACGATTCATCAAAACATTGATTGACATGGTCACCAGGAGCAATATTTAATCCCTGTAAATTATATTCCGTGCTGTATGGCCGACGAAGTAAATTAGTGCAGTTCATCTAAAAAGGGTAAAGAAACTCATCATCTGTGGCGGTCGCCGGCGCTGGTCAAATCTAGCCGCTGGTATTAATGATATCAGCACTTAGTCATCGGTGCTCATCGCTAACCTGGCTGGGAGCTCTGAGACGGCGCGGTCATGCGATGTCAGGGTCCGCCGTTAAACAAGCAACACGGACGGACGTTCGTGTAAGATCCGGTAAGAGAGTCTGGGAGGGTATACAGACGGACTAACGTCCGGCAGCGCTATAACGGCAACCGGCTCACGGCACGACCAAATATGGAGAAGAGTCCGCTATAATCACTGCACAAAGCACAGTGAATGTTATTAGGCGTCCTTGTTTGTAGCAGTCACCTCTAACTGACTTGTTATTCCAAACAAGAACAATGCAGACTTTTTCACAGCCTTCGGTTGTGTGCAAACTCTAAGCTTCGCCTCACACGTTCACACACGCATATCCAGTCTTGTACAGTGCAGTCACCATCACGCCGACAAAACCGTCGGCGTGATGCACAGTCTATCGTTTCATCAGCACTCTACATCCACAGCACTCGATTCCTATCACACACATTCCTTTCCGGACCTCAGTTCGCGCGACGGCCACCAGACGTCTCGTAGGTCACCTTGGCCCGCGCAGGTCACTGTTGGCCCGGGTACCGACCGAGGCAAACGAGCGAACCGTCGGCCAGAGCCAGCGGCTCCCTCTGATGGTGCCCGATCATCTCCTCCACAGAGCCGAAGCTGACTTCCTCTGGTTTCTCTGAGCCCAGTGCGTACCGCCCGTCCGGTCGCTGGCGTACGATCAGGTTCACTTCTCGTCCCGCGTGACGCAGCGTTAGAGCGTAAGGCGTTGTTGCACCGCCACGCCGAGTGGGACGCACCAAGAAGGACCCGTCGCCAGCGTGCTCGAGCAGGGACCTCGCGGCGGCTCGGTCGACTGGGTGGAACCAGCCGTGCGAGCTGATTGTAAGAGCTGGAGGAGGTCCTGGCTGATCGCTGGCGGATGCTGGCGGACGCAGGGGTGGTGAAGGCGGTTTCAGTGTTGGAGATACTGGTGGCGGCGGAAGTGGCCTAGAGGCGATACTGGCGGGTGGCAGTCGTCCCGGTAGCGGGGGAGGAGCCCCCAGGCCGGACGGAGGCGCCCGGGATGGCGGCAGTGGTGGTAGGGAGGAAGGAGGTGGTGGGGGCTCGGGAGCGAGCTGCTGCTGATGTGGCTGCGGCTCTGGAACAGGCTCCTCTTCGAAGTCATCGCTGTAATCCGTCCACTCCTCTGAATCTGAGAAGAACTCATCTCCTGCTCCAACGTATCCGGGCTGCCCATCAGGCTGGGCAAACGAGTTCGCATACTCTCCTCCAATCTCCTCCACTGGAACACAATATATGTCTTCATCCGGCTCATGCACAGCGTGCTGGCTCACAACTCCAACCGATGCGGTCATTCCTGGCATGTCGTGAGGTTCAGTCCCTTCCTCGGTGGGCTCATTGTAAATGTTCTGTGGCTCAAGAGTGGAGGTATTCACAGGAACCGGCACTTGGGGCGGCACTGGAGACCTTGAAGGTACCGGGGATCTTGAAGGTACAGGAGACCTTGGAGGTACAGGAGACCTTGGAGGTACAGGGGACCTGCTGGGAGGTACAGGGGACCTGCTGGGATGTACAGGAGACCGCGAAGGAGCAGCCACATGACCTGTAATCGGAGATTTCGAATGCACCGGCGACCGCGAACGTACGGGCACGTGGCCCAGTGCAGCAGACCTTGCAGGCACCGGAGACCGCGGCGGTACAGGCACAGGCTGTGAAGGGGGCGCCTCAGCAGGTTTCACAGGCCTGAAAACTCCCTTCGTCTGCGGCACTGGCGGTGGCGGAGGCTTGGTGAGGCCTCTAGAGCCCAGCAGAGCCGGCTGATGCTGCTGGCTGTGCTGTTGGCGATGCAGATCGTGCTGTTGCCCGTGCTGCGGATGACCAAGCCGGTTACGGGACGGTGGTATCTGCTCCTCAGCAGCGCGGTGGTCCAGCTGCTCGAAGCGCTGCTTCATGCGCTCCACGATGTTGGCACCGTCCATGGCGAGTCGTCGCTGTGTCCTCCGATCGACACTGCACACACTACTGAGTAGTCTTAGACAATGTGCAGCGCCGCCGGCGGCACAGGCGATAACGGCTCCGAAGGCCACGTGACTAGCACAGTCACTGACCACCGCAGTCACGTGATGTCGCCGTTCTCTGTAGGAGGACCGTCACAGTGGATCACGTGACGTCGCCCGCGGCCGCCGGAGGAAAACACGTGTCAATGCCGTTCCGGCGGACGTCCCACCGATAGCCGGGACCGACCGGGAACCGCGGCTCGAGCAGACCCCGAGCGGTCAGCGGCGGGACGTTCTGGTATGATATTGAGGTCTGTGGCGACAGTTTGTTCCTAGAGACTGGTCAGAACAGACAGTAGGAATCCACACTGATAGCTGCCTGGCGCCAATGTATCCAAGCAGACTAACGCCCAAAATGTGTAGTCTGACAAGACTGACGATTGTGAATTCCGCTGTCCGGACCAGGGCCGAGCCGCCAGCCCGCCCGATACAAGGTGGGGTGACGGCGCGGGTGGCGTCTCGCCGGTGAAACGGTATCTGCGCCTCGGGGCAGGGAGTGGTCCGCTCCGACCCTGCAGACCAGCACCGCGCATCGCATTGTCCATCATTAGCGGCATAACGCCAGTCTCCCCTCGGTCGATACTACGGTGCGGGAAAGTCGCCCCGTCAGCCGACCCGCCGCACCGAGGGCTTTCTCTCACGCGTGAGGCTCGGCATGCAGCCGCCGACGAGTGTACGACAGTGTTTGGGTGCTCTCCCCAGGCCACCGCGTGTCGTGAGGGCTGGAGGCAGCGTGAGAGACGAACTCCTGCGCCAGCTCTCTCCACAGGGCTCATTAGCCGGCGGTTTGTCTAATTTACGTCATAATCGAGCCACGCTGAGGTGGCGATTATGGTCGACATAGTCTTTTACACCGTTCATGAGCTCTCCGACAGTTTTAATTCCCCTTGAGCCTCTTGAGCAATCCTCATCAGAAACAAGTGCAGTGTTAATCTGTCAACTATGACAGTGAAAGTCTTCAAAATTTCTCTTGCATCAAATGTGTAGGCACGATTACTCATCATACATTGTAGACAACTTGCTCACATAAAATGACTCAGTCGATGTAAGTGCCAGATAAGACATCGTTTACTGAATGAATCACACGATAAAACAGCGAACAGTGAGCATAGATTCGAGAGCTCCTTGCTGGAGTGACTATCGCGATCACTCCGAAATCGCCGTGTTGACTTTGTGCTATCAGTGCCATCCGTTATCCCACCGATCTGTCTTGTCAGCGGCTATGAAAACTGATCTACAGAAGCAGCCGTCCACTTCAAGCCTGTGTTCCAATCCCCTCTCCTCTACTTCCACACGATAGCCGACGCTTGTATAACATCGCCGCGTTGCGGGGTGACCGAGGTGATCAAGATGGAGCGCAGTCAGGGATCACGGGGTCGCAGAGGTCATCCTCAGGGAAGGGTACTCACCAAGCAGCACCTCGGGCGCCCGGTAGTGGCGAGTCGACACCACCGTGCTGTGGTGCTCGTGGTCGAAGGTGGCACTCCCGAAATCAATCAGCCGGATCTCTGAGTCCTTGACCACGCGCAGGTCCCGCTTCTGTGAACACAGGCGATAGACATTCTGTCAGTAATACATACATGGTATCATACAAAAGGATACCTAAATACCCCGGTCAACACACTGTATTATAAGGCCAGGTCTGAAGAAGCAACCACATGTAGATTAAGCTACCGACCTACCAGGTATCATATCTACCGATTGTGTGGACATAGTCGTTAAGGAGTTTACATCATGGTCGGCTCTTCATTTCTCATCAGTAATTATCCAGCAGACTCCAATCTGAGAGGCCACGCTTTGCTCTCTCGCCGCCAGGATCGCTCCGGTCGGTTCGGCCGGTCCACCGTGGGTCATGTGATGTTCGGATCACTAATGGCCAACATGTACCATGCTGTGCACAGCAGGGTGCCACTGTGAACACTCGCCATCCTACGGTGGGAAACAAAGCTAACATCCGACCTAGCGCATGCATTGGAGAGTAGGCGGAAGAAACGTGGCTCCAAGTCTCTTTTAGGAGAAGGCTAGCATGCTGGTCTCAAAGTTACGAGGGTTTGTATTCAAAACGTCTGCTCTGCGACCTTGGCGAAAATGTTGATTTGTTGTTGGCGAGCACAAAGAATGGAAGCTGCGTCCGACAGCGTCCACGTAAGCGAGACTAACTAACGTGCAATTCATTCGTCTCGCGGCGCTGCACAAGGAACAATGGCCGCGCCCCTGTTTTGTTGTCGGCAAAACAGTGTTTACGTGAGCAGTGGCCCGGCTCTGTCTGTCGGGCCGTCTACTCGTCTGCCTTTCTGACTGGCTCGAGAGAACACACTCCCCAGAAACAGAAGCTAATCATTCAGACAAGAGGCGTGACCGACTGATAGCAGCTGTTATGTCAGCTCGGGAATGACCTTCATAACTTTGAAGGTAATACATGTGACAACTGTCGCCAACTATTCCTAATATAGTATTTGGTAACCGGTGTGCAATGAACGTCGCGTCCGAAGATGTTTTACGCGACGTCGTCACATACCTTTTTGGGGTTGTACTCGATGTCGTAGTCCGAGCTGACGAACAGGATGTTCTCGGGCTTCAGGTCGGTGTGTGTCAGCTTGGTGGCGTGCATGAAGCTGACCGAGTGGCAGAGCTGGTAGCCGATGTGACGCACTTGGTCCAGCGGGTATGGCTGGTAGTTGTTCTCCTTCTGTGGGGGGTGAGGGGAGGGGAGAGTCAGCGGAGGAGCGGCGCGGCACGTCACGCGGGACCGGCCTTGGAACTCGCGGTAAATGGGACAAGTGCATTGTAGCGCGCCGCCGATAGCCATCGCGACCTCCAGTTTCAAGATGTTCTTTTGTCGGTAAGAATTCACAGCCTGAACTGAACGATAAGCAGAACGCACGCAACTTATTGTCTTTGTGTCAAGTCTCTAGCGGTAACATGAGTACGCTTGAATTCATATTAAATCCTCCGACGCTTATCGTGCTATGGAAATTAGCGCCAGCTGCTGGGCGTCGATTGCTGATAAGTTTCCGGTTTGTCTGAGAATGGGCGTCTCCGACTCGACTCGCTGTGAGCTGTGTCGGGTGTCTTGCATATCTGTCAGCTTTGTCAGATGTGTCAGGGCGTGTCATGGTGACGACTGACGACACTCACCAGGAAGTCGAACACGCTGAGACCGAGCATCTCGAAGGCGATGCAGATGTGTCCGTGGTAGTCGAACCAGTCCAGCATCTGCACGCAAAGGCTGCAAAGAAACAAAGGACATCGTTAGTTCGATCGATCATCATACGGGCAACAGCGTCGAAACCAATCGAATTAAACACACACGATGGAAGTGCTGTCGACTATAGCAACGGACCGGTCCGTTAACAGCGAGTGGACTCGATAAAAACCTACGGACCATTGTTTAACCAGACATAAATTTTCGTGGATAGGAGAGGACCCGCCCAGACCTTTCTCGCTGAGCTGCCTCGCTATCCCGCCGGTCTCGCCGGCAGAGGGAGGTCTCGGGTCGGCTCTATGGCCGCGAGACTCTGACAGCCGTCCGCTGTCGCTGTCACATGCTATCGGACCGCCAGCACTGCCGGCCGACCGTCGCAGTGCAGGCACGTCCATCCCACTTCCGTACACGGCTTTTACGAGTTCGATTGCGCGACTTTTTTTGTCGCCGCTCGGCTCAAGGCTGGAGAGGCGCGCGCCGGCCGCTTCCTGGCCATTTCGTGTCCGCCAAGGGCACTAAATGGACGCCCGCCTCCGCTGGGATGGCACCAGACGCCTGATCGGACCGAGATTACTCGCACTGCCGCCGGAGAATTGTGTTTTGACTCCAGCCAAGAACAAAGCACCCGTGCCGTCTTTGTTAACTAACACACAAACACACGCCACGCGCACGGACATACCCACACTACCACGACCGGAGTCGCCGGACTGAATCCGAGTCACGACTCGCGCACCGTCTAGTGTCGACTCGTGACGCCATTAAATGTACTCGGCTTATGTAAATGGCCGTTGGATCGTTACACCTTTCAGCACCCCACCGAAGTCAATGTCAGTTGTATTTTACTAATAAGTTACTTAACGCATGAACAATGCACGAGCGAATTGCACGAACGTTACTTCGCCCAACTTACTTTTTGCCCTGCGGGTCTTTCTCGTTGAGCTTTTCCAGAACGTTGATCTCAAGTTTGGCGGCTTCCCGGTACTTCTCAACGTTCTTGATGATCTTGAGAGCGATCGTGTCATCCCTGCAAACGAACGCACAAGGCTCAGTACCGCACATCTTAGAGCGCTCCAGCAGTGAAAGGCCCACACGGACAACAGGACCCTAAATGACTGCACGGAGGGGCGGTGGGGGTAAAAAGTGACGGTCATTCGACGTCGTGGGTTGTTGGTATGCACCACTCGCAGAGGTGGCTCCAGAGGCTGCCGCAGGATTCCATTGGTACGTACTTGCGATACAGGGGACAGTGAGGTACACTCGGGGGCAGATTGATGTTCCACAACTCCTTATCCACCGGGTTCCTATGGCTCAGCATTGGCAGCAGCCGCCTGGTACCGGTAGACTGTGCCGCTTCACTTACTTGTCAAGCGGCACAGCCTACCCACACCGTATGCCACCGGTCTGGGTCGGTGGCTGTAAGGCGATGTGGGCCGCCTGTGACGTCAGCGCAGCGGTGAGGGCCGAGCCCGGAGGCATGGCTCGGGTCGGCGCGGCGTGGCGGCTGGCGAGGGCTGGGGAGTGAGGTGGGGTGGGAGCACGGACCATCGCGCGGCTGAGCGAGTGTAGTTAACTTTCGCGTCTCAAGGCGCCAATTGTTCTACCTAACAATTGTGCTAAAGCAGTTGTTAAAATGTCCTATCCCCAATACAGCGCCTATCATCATACTTGCCATGCACATTACGACACACTTAAACGTGACATTGGGACAGCCGATAGAATTTATATCACACGTGCATCGAGTTGCGGAGCTACATTGTTTTTAACAGATATGTATTAAGGCCTTGATTGAGCTCATTGGTGTCTATTATTTCGCACAACAATCGTCCAGAGACGTGGGAACTGGGGTTTTTGGATAGCGCGGCGTCCCAACTTTAAGCAACTCTTATGTTCCTCTAATGTGTGGTCGCAGCCACCAATAGCAAACCGTTCCATCTAGGAACAAATAAGTCGCGCACCTGGGCCGGAATTCGAACCGGGTTTCTCCAACCGGTCACCCCACGACGCTAGCGTGTATCCACTGAGCTGCCGAAACCAGCGACCACCCGCCGCGGTCAAACGCGATCAAATGTCACAATACTGTCATTGGCGGTCAGCGGGTGGATGTCATTTTGTTTTGTGCGGACGAGGACCATTCTCGGTAGCTCAGTGGATGAACGCTCGTGTCGTGAATTGGCCGGTGGGAGAAGCCCGGTTCGAACCCCCCTGAGTGGCCGACTTTTTGGCTCCTAGTTGGAACGGTTTGCTATTGGAGGCTGCGACCACATATTAAAGCAACAGTAATAATCGCTTTAAATTGGAGCGTTGGCTGCGGCACTACTCATAACCCCCAGTTCCCACGTCTCTGGACGATTGCCGTGCGAAACAATAGACCCCAATCTGCTGGATCAAGGCCTTAATACTAATATGTTATACAAAATATAGCTCCGCACCTCGATGCACGAGTGACATAAGTTCTATCGGCTGTCCCATTGCCACGCTTAAGTGTGTCGTAATGTGCATTGCAAGTATGATGATAGGCGCTGTCTTGGGGATAGGACATTTTTAACAACTGCTTTAGCACAATTGTTAGGTAGAATAATTGGCGCCTTGAGATGCGAAAGTTAACTACACTCTACACTCGCTCAGCCACGCGATGTCCGTGCTCCCACCCCACCTCACTCCCCAGTCCTCGCCAGCCGCCGCGCCGCGCCGACCCGAGCCATGCCTCCGGGCTCGGCCCTCACCGCTGCGCTGACGTCACAGGCGGCCCACATCGCCTTCCAGCCACCGACCCAGACCGGTGTCATACAGGTGGGTAGGCTGTGCCGCTTGACAAGTAAGTGAAGCGGCACAGTCTACCGGTACCAGGCGGCTGCTGCCAATGCTGAGCCATAGGAACCCGGTGGATAAAGAGTTGTGGAACATCAATCTGCCCCCGAGTGTACGAGCTAGCGGCCGTCGGTGGTCGTATCCCGACGGTGATACGACCAGCGCCGACCACCGCGGGAGCGAGCCAAGGCAAATACGGCGCGGCGGTCGGCGGTGCCGAGTCAGCCCTGGTCAGCGGGGAGGTGGTCTGGACGGTCGACCCACGGCTCCAGTGGCCGACTGCATGAGTCGACCACCCTTTGCAGCTGCAACGAGCGTGCAACAACGCCGGTCCGCGTCCCCTAGACAAGCTCTCTGAGCTTATATTCACGCTACCGTTGTAAACAAAGCGCGACAGGAAGAAAACAGGCGCCAATGCCATATCTTACCTCTCAAGGTCCTTGACTTTGACGACCTTTCCGAACGTGCCTTCGCCGAGCGTGGACATGATGCGATCTGCAACGAAAGAGAAACCAAGTCAGAGAGGTAAAAACACGAGACAGTCGTTGGCAACAAGTCAACATTCCTTTTACGGTGCCCGCGACACATGGATCAATCCATATGTAGAGTCCGGCGCTTTTCATAGCCTGCAGCCTGATGCAACGGTTCATATTGATTTACGATCGTGTTGTCAGCTCATCTGGGCACCCGAATATAGTCGCCGCCCGACCGCGCGGCATTTCTGGGCGTCCTGTCAGGTGTCGTGACGTCAAGCGGCACGCCTGACGTCAGGAGGGACTCGGCCGCTCAACAGGCGAGTGGCAGAGCGGTACCACTGGGGGAGCTCGCTGGTCACGTCTGGAGACACTCAACGTTCCAGGGAAGTCGGCGCCTTCGGCAGCGTCGCGATATCGCTCGGTATGTGCGCGTGTTATAGCTCCGGCCGGCGGCGATACTACGTCCCGTCTCATGGCCACACAGCAGGACGCTGATCTTCAGAGACCGTAAACAGGACTGCGCGCTGCGAGCGGTGTCCATCGCTCATCGGACGCGCTTCCCTCGAGGACGCCGCGGCTGGGCGGAGCGCGGAAGTGGGCGATTATAGAGAAGACATCATCAGGATCGGAATGTATTTCCGACAGTTCCGACTGAAGTGTGAAGGGTGACTCTAAATGGCGAATTAGGTAATTACGCGCTCCCTCCACGGGCGCGCTACGGGTAACGACAAGGTGATGAGCTATTCGAATGTTATACGATCGTGGTTCGACAGGTGATGGATTGTAACTCTTTCGGTGGTTCGGTTTTAACTATGCGTAGGTATTCGTATGTTGGGATCGCACAGAAAACGACCATGTCTGGCTCTGGTCGTTATTACCCGTGACCGAGGTCAAAGGGCGGCTCTCGACACTTCTGTCGACGGGCGGGGAGGAGCCGAATCGGTCGCGGTGGGAAGGTCGCCAAAATAGCGAGCAGCGCTTGTCACACCGACGAACTCAGGTCAGCTGAGCGCGAGCCCGTCGGCACGCGCCAGAGAGGTTTCGTCGGTCCCGAATCACCCCACAGCTGATCACATCAGCTAACGTCAGATCCTAAGTACCATAATCGGCGCTACCCACGGCCACTGACAGGTTAGTACGGCCCTTTGCACTCATCAGGACATCAGGACGGCGCCACGACTGACATCTGTGACACACGTCTCGAGGATCTGTCCACTGCGAAGCCTCACACGACCTCGACCACCCCTTTAGCACCGCGTCTCGGAGCTGCAGAGCGCGTGCAGACCATGTCCGACACGTTCATCAGGCTCCACAGCGGCCGGGACGACGCGATAGAATCGTCTGGGCGACGCGCACTTTGCACCATACCGAGCTGTACCCGGTCACCTGCAGACCCTGAGCAGGCGGTCGGCCCGGTCGGCTGCTGAGCCCGTGATACCTTATACAGCGCCGATAGTGAGAAGAGGAGCTCAGCTCCGCCCCCCGGCAGACCGGCTCGTCTCGCCTGCTGATCCCGGCTCTGCTGGGACAGAAGGGACGCCGCCGGCATCGGTTGCCTCCCAGCTCATCTGCCTTGCGATCGGAGCGGTCTGGCTGGCCAAGCGGTCAGTCCCGTCCGACCCAGCCCGGTCACGAGCGTCTGCTGCCTCTGCAGGTGTTGACCGTTAGCGGGCCGGGCCGCGAGATGATATTACACCGCGGGCACGCCGCCGGGCACGTCCAGTTGATGAGCAGCCGGCCGCGCGTGAGAGTGGTATCAGCCGCAGGGATCGGCGCCGGCCGCCCCATCGCCCGCCCATCGTCCCATCGTGTCATCGAATCGGTGCGGCGATGGTGCGGATAACGGGGCGACACCGTTGCCCACTGGCAATTTGCGCAGCGGAAAGGCCCGACAGATGTCTGGGGATGCGTCCCACCGGCGCTCGTCACGGTGAACGGCGACGGCCGGTGGTCCAGATTAAACCCCAGGCCCCGTCTCACGGCGGCGCCACTGGATCTCTCCTCTAAAGAACGATTTAACCGAGGCTCAGCCGCGAGCGTGCAGCCGGGATGACTATCAAAGATAACGTCAAACATGCCATGATCTATGGCTCTGCGCTGTTTTATCAGCATGACGAACCGGTCTAAAATAAACCAGACGACAAATGAAAAGAAACTGCCCGCATAAGTCGGTCCGAACGAGTACCAATTAAGCCGGCGGGGAACGAATAAGTACAGTCATCGTACCCGGAGCAGCACTCGGTCTCTGTCTACCTTATGAGGCCGTCTTCTCGGCATACTGTATGCGGACAATAGACACATCTCGGACAGACAGAGCCGAGCTGGGCCTCCCTGCCGCGCCCGCCGTGACAACGCCATCCTCCCCGAACACACCCTCTCTCGACAGACGTGATCTGACCCGCCCAGCAGGACGGAACGGGCGGGGCAGGGCGGACACTCACATCTGTTCTGCAACACGTCTCCGTTCTTGTAGATGAGATGTCCGTCGGCATCGTCCTCGATCGAAGGCTCGTGCGAGTACTGCCAAGACGAGAGAGGCAGAACGTTAGGGGAGGAGACAATGCTGAGGGGACGAACAGACAGAAATGAAGTGAAAAGACACTCAAGATGAAGCCTCACTAAAAAATCACTCCTCTCTCATTCAGCCTTCTCCACTCAACCCAATACAAGCATCGTTAGCTGCAAATGTATGTACACACTCATAAACACCAATGGCGAAAAGTAGGCCAATGTTGTCTCTTTCAACGTCACGATTAGTTACGCGGGCGGCATGACACCGCTTTTTGTGCATTGCTCCTTGATGTTTTGCATGTCCATGCAATGTTATGTGAGCGCCACAAGGGCGTGACATTCGCTCCAGGTAACCGGGGTGTCGCCGGTCCTGTCACTGAGTCAGATCAGTGTCAGGTCAGGGTCAGGTCACGGGGTGGGGTTTTAACTTTTAGTCACTGGATGCGTCACATCCAGTCCCTGGAACTGAAGATCTGTTGGAAGCTGCCGTCTCCCTGCAGCTTTTAGTCGCACCCGGCGTGCTAGGCAGCTCGTGGTACCCGCACAGGTCGCGTGCCACAGCTCGGAAGCAGCCGGCTGGCGGCTGCGTGGCACGCACCCAGTGCCATGCCCCGAGCTCCCCACATGCTCTGCGCGCTACCTCTCGCTTTGCCAGCTACCGGCGTTGCGCTCAAGCCAACTAACTGGCACCCAGACAAACTGATGTGAAAAGACCACCCACACAAGCACACGCCAACGCACAACTGACGGGGCACTCGGGGCAGGCTGCCAGCTACAGAAGCCACGGTTCTACCTTGGCGGCAGCCTCGGCGAGTCTGGTGTGCGTGTCGCCCCGTCGGATCGGGTTCATAGACCGAGTCTTGGCCTCCTCCCGGATCCTCTTGTAGCGTCGCGCGGAGGCCGAGCCGAAGTAGACGTCGTCCAGCTTGGAGCTGGAGCCGGTCAGGGCTGGGTCAGCGCGGGTCATCGAGCCGCCGCCCGAGGCGCGAGGCGTGCGCCTGGCAGAGTCGAGTCGCGAGTACACGCTGAACGTGGGGTCGTAGTCGTGCAGGCGGGTGCGAGCGCCGACACCGGTGCCCAACTCGGTGGCTGCGGGCCGGATAATTGCCGAGGCCGACTTTTGCAGACCTAGCACCGGGTGACGAGTGTTGAACTCGGCGCGCCGCGAGCCCAGGAGCTCATTATTGTTGGGTTCAGTCAGCACCGGCTTCACGTCGAGGTCCAGCGGCAGCCCGGTCAGAGGGTCGATGGGCAGATGGGTGACCGGGTCGCGGGTCAGCAGACAGCCGTGGCTGTAGCTCGGTACCAGACCCGGCGCCCCGGTGGAGAGAAGCGCCGAGGCGGGGTCCGCGGCCGGACCGAACGGCTGCGGACGTGACCGCAGCACCTTCCGCTTCCGTTCCTCCTTCTCACGCATTCGCTGCTCTTCTTCAGCAGCCTTTAGACTTTCCATCTCTGCCAGTTTCTTTTGGTCATCCACCGCTGCTTTCTGCTTTTCTTCTTTGTCAAGCTCGTCCTGGAGTTTCTTGAGATCGATCTCTTCGTCAATTTTTAGTTCGTTGAGCACTTTATCAGTAGCCGTTTCTTTTGATTCGGTCAGTTTCAACATTTCAATCTTATTTTCACATATATCTTCTATCTTTTCGTCACTAGGAATGAGAATAGGGATTTCTTCGTCATCATCATCAGGTGAAATGCTCATCTTTGATTCAGTTTCCTTTGCGGCAGCTGCACACACCTCCTCAGCGGGTGCAGCCTCAGCGACCGCCTCCTTCTTCGGCTCTTCCACTTTCACTTCTTCAAGGTTCTTACTTTCTTTAACAACTGCTGGCTCTTCCATTCTCTTCAAGTCATCCACGGTCTTGCTTGCTTCCGGCTCTTCTACTTTCTTTTTGGAAGAGAATGGACTAAAGAGCCGATCTTTTAGCGTCAACTTTTCTCCAGTGGCGGAGGACCTGCGGCCGAAGAAGCCCGAAGAGGATTTTTGGACGGGCGCCGGTTCAATTGGCCTCGTCAGACTGGGACTGTTGGCCACCAGCCGGCGGCGCAGTCTCGGACTGGCAGTCACGGGACTGGGCCGGTCCTCGGCGTGCGCCAGCCGATCGTCCAGTCCTTCCGGCACCGTCTGTGTCAGGAAGCGGCTCCTGAAGCGGCGGTACGGCTCCTTCTCCAGCTCCTTAGCGCTGATTTTCCAGCTGGAGGAGCGGCCCAGCTTGGGCTGGTGAGGTGGCTTGCCCTCGGGTGCCGCAGCGCTGAGACTGGTGTCCGAGCCCTTGTACTCGGTGGCTCGGACGCCCCCGAGGCGAGGGTACAGGTCACTGAGCAGCGGCCGATCGTGGCCATGGTCTCCACGACGCTCACCGGAGCTCGGATGGTGGTCCGAGCCCGAGCTGGTGGTGGAAACCTCATCGTCTCGTCGCCGATGAGTGCCGTTGGCAGGTCGCAGGTCAGCAGCACCCAGGCCACTGTACCCGCCACCGTACCGCCAGGCCGTATCGTATGGCGCCGCGTACGACCCGTGATAACTGGGCATCTTAGGCTCGTGAACGGCATTCTCGTACCAGCGCGACTTGTCTCCGCCGGTGGTACGCGTCGGCTCGTGTCGGGAGGACTTTTCCTCGCGGTGTCCGTGCCGCGAGGAGGGCCGCTCCTCCTCCCAGAGACCATGTCGGGAGCTGGGTCGGTCATGCGACTCGTGACCATCGTACGGGCCGTGGTGAGAGGAGCGCTCTGGACGGGCGCCGTCGGCCGCCGGACGGCCCGGCGAGCCGTACCTGTCACTGTGGCGATGCTGCGCCGGAGCCGGCGCTCGACCGTCCTCGTCACCCTGGCGCTTCTTGTACTTCTCCTCCCAGTGGGCGAGCTTGCTGCCGGTGGATTCTAGACCCAGACGGTCCAGTTTGGCGTACTTGTACACCAGCGGGTGGTAGGCGACATCGGAGCGGAATTCTGCCCGGGACCGGGAGGCGGGCGCTGCGGCCGGCGCCGACGTCTTCTCCTCGCCATCAGTGGTGGAGACGCCGCGGACACGCGAGGTCAGCTGTTGTAGCAGGTTGAGACCGCTCTTGATGACTCCACCAGAGGGCTCGACGGCGTCGGAGCCGCGCCGCGTGGCCACTCCGCTGCTGGTTTCCATGGCGCCGCCGAGCGCCGTGGTCCGCGAGCGGCCATACACGCGTCGCGAGCGACTGGACATGGCACCACCGAGCGCCGCCGACCGGCAGCCACACCTCCGACACAAAGATAAACACTGGTGGCACCGAACGACACCTCAGCGACGACAGCGACAGCTGCGAGCTGGCACAGAGCGACGGTCAAAATAGAGCGACGGTCAGCGGCCGGCCGGCGGTCGACGCGCACAGGAGGGCACCAGAGAGGCGCGCCAGCCCTCGCAGGGCGACTGCCGGCGCACGGTCGACGGGACCGACGGGATCCTGGCGGCGGCGGGCGCGCTCCGCTCTTGGCCGCGTTGACCGAGTGCCAGCGGTGGGCGCCCCAGTTGGAAGGGCGCCGCCGCCGCCCGGCTGACTCACTCACTCCAAATACACCAGTCCGTTGGCGCGCGCTGGACGGTCAGGTACGAGTCACCGGCCCAGTGACCCGCGCTGACCGGTCGGGTCGGGTCACCTGGGTGCCCACTGGCTGTTCACCTCCACCCCGCCGCCGCCGGCTGTCTGCCCCGCGGGCACGCGAATCGCGAGCCGGCGGCGGCTGGTGCCCTCCCGAGCGCGCTAAATATACCACGGGCTCTCCCAGTGGCGAGACCGCATAGCGCGGCACGAGCTGCGCATACCTTCTGCGGCGCGGGAGGTGATAACCGGCCACTGGCCAGACGGTTCGATCATCCATCAGTTCATCCATCCGCCCGGGCCGCCCCTGATCTCCGTCCATTGAAGGATGCTCCGACCGACAGACTGCGTCCTGATCCCCTCGACAGGTGGTCGGTGGCGCGGTATTTTTGGCACCGCTCACCGGCAGCCCAGAGAGAGCCGCCGGCGCACTGCGGCGGGGTCGGGCACACGTGCCAGCCGCCGCCGCCGCTGACCCGGCCGCCGTAACAGAGTGAGGTCATCAGTGAGGGCGAGGACGGCGTCTCCATGCCGCTCGACAGGAGGTCATGCGGTGACGGGCCATCGGTCTACCGCTCGGTGACACGCCGCGCGGCCATCGGTGTGAAGTGCGTCCAGGTGTCGCGCTGTTTTTCTGCTGTGGAGAGAGGCGACGGCATGGCTCGTCCGCTGATGGGGTCGGCTCGTGACCGATCGGTCCCCGCTGCCGCCGCCGCCGCAGCCGTGCGCTGCCATATTAGGCCCGATGCGCCGGGGAAACGGCGCACCTTCGCAGCCGGGAAGTGGACTGGTGACGGACCTTGGCACCGTCAAGGTTTGTCAACACGGGAAACTGGGTCGCTGGCAGCCTTGACGGTTTTTCTGTATAGCGCTGGACACTCGCGTCGAGACGTGATCAATTAGTCGAATCACGTGCCGAAGTTTTATGCATATGAGCTTGTTTGTCTTTCAGTTTCGTCTCGATAATAACTCACGGCTCTGCGGTCTGACGGCAGCTCTCGAGTCACAGCCGCAAATCGTTTATTCAGTCGCAGGCGGGCGAAAGTAAGCTCAATCGGCCAAACTCAGCGCATTTTTCCAGCGAGCGAGCGCCATTAATCTAAGCCGCTCCGTCTCCAAACCAGCTGCGGGTTGTTCAACCCTGTCGTTCCGCTAAGTGCGCGCGTGTCGCACGGCGGCGCACAGGTGCAGGCGGCGGCGGCGGCGGCGCAGCGGCGGCAACCCATCCAGGTCGCGGTCGGTCGCCGACCCCTCCCACACGCACACTCGCGCGTGTGTGCGTGCACCGGTGCTCGGGCGGGGGCGGGGGCGGAGGACCGGTCGGCAGTGACGCACGCAGCTCGATCTCAGTCACCACACGTGCCTCTGCTGTGACCCACACACGCGTCTGGAGATGAGTCAGAGCGGCGGACTTCTGCGCGCCGGAACTGATCCCAGACGCGCAGCCGGCAAATTCGTCAGCGAGGCAATATGCAATGTGACAACCCGTGACTGCCGCTGCAGCTCATAAACCGCACAGCACTCAAGTCCTCTGCGTCAGTCATTGCTCTCAGACCCCGCGTAGGCGTGATGAATGGACCGGCATGTTATGTCACGCGAATCATCTGCCTGGCATGACCGCTGCCTCGTCTCGCCCTGGATAAGATCGCCTCATCAGGGCCGACATGCGCCGCGTCCGTCAGCGGAATACAGCTGAATTTCTCAGACACGACCCTCAATTACGTACCGTTTATCCCGAGCAGATGCCCTAACGATGCATCAAACGCTGGTCGCCACGCCCGCGTCAGAGGTCTCAATAAGGTATGCAAATCGGCCGGTCGGAGCGTTCGCTGCCATGTTCGGCACATGGCCCGCGCCGGTCCGCGCACGAGCCGCTGTCATTACGCGATGGGCGCGCGGCGCACGGCCCCGATCGGACCTTGATTACCGTCCCGGGGAGGATCAAGGGCGGGTCTCTGACAGGGACGCCGTCGATCGCACAACGGTCGGCAATATAATTTCTGATCCGGTCCGTCTGCTTGTCTGTATGTAGGTTCGTCTGAGTCCGTCTCTCCACTGTTCGTCCGTCCGTCCGTCCGTCCGTCCGTCCGTCTGTCCGTCCGTTCGTCGGTTCAACCGTCCGTGTCCGTCCGTGCGTGCACCAGCCGCCAAATATCACGGACTCGTGCTCATGCGAAAACAGAATGGTGAGCCGAGTGGGTGCGGTGGAACGCGGCCCGTCGGCAAGCTTCGGTAAGTAGTCGGGCGGCACGGGTCAGTGTTGTATCAGGCGCCTGACAGGCGCGGGCTGACGCACTTTAGAAGATTCCAGAAGGTCGAAGGCTGCCCCAGTAACGCCAGATGTGACGCGTGTGTGCGTCAGCCGTTTTATCCGCCTTGCTCGGCTGCAGGATTCATTGCGCATACGCAGAGTAGGTCGCGAAAGGCGCAGCGGCGGCACTGCCAGAAGGGGAGCTAAGCCAGCGGAGAATGTATGTCTCGGCGTTACACAATGGCCCAGAGCGCAGGACATGCATAGCGGCGAGGATTCACGAGGCTCTCTAGACGTGGCCGATGCAGGGAGAGATTGGGGATGAGGCACTGCGCGCTGCGCCGGCGGTAACAAAAGCCACCAAGGCGAGCCGTGCCGCGCAGGAGAAAGGTGCGACTCGATGTGCGTGTGGATTTCTCCGGCCTTGTAGTGCAGAATTTAGATAGCAGGCTGCGTGTCCACTCGGCAGGGGGTAGACGTTAACGTCCTGTAGAGTGCGTCATCCGTACCTTCCTTGGTGGCGGGAGCTATCGTTTCTTTTCTCCTTCTTTCCGCTTGTGTGACCCTGAGCTTCTCTCCTCCCTCTCTAACTCTCTTGCTAAGCTGTGAGTTGTCCCTTGCTCACGCCTTCTCTTAGTATGTGCCCGTACAATAAGGAGACGGCTCCGGAGATTAGCTGGCTTCGCTACTGGACCCAGAGCCGGAATATTTCTGCCCAAATAACGGACCACAGAACAATCGGTCCGAACATTTCCTGAGCCGACCGGAGCTGGAGCGTGTTGAAGGGTTTACCGGTGTCGGCTCGCTGCCAAGGCCAGAGTGACTGGGGCCGACCTGGACCGACTGGAGCGGCGGCCGCGGCAGCGGTGGGGACGGAGGGGACGGCTGGCTGGGTGTGCCGGCTCGTCCGGCATCCGTCCCGGCCTGCCGGCACCCCTCGCCCTCGGCCCTCACCCTCAGCCGGGCTGAGCTGCAGGTGGTGGGCGATTTCAGGAAGATGGCAGGCTCTTTGTTCGCCGGGCGCAGTGTCGGTGGCCGGACCGGCCAGTCTGGAGCACCTGCCGTCTCCCTCACTGGTCGGGTAGACTCGGGGATATTTGATACGGGGCAGGTGAGGAGCGGTCAGCAGCTGTCGAGTAGTTTGGTGGGGACTGGTCGTGCCGGAATGGGGCGGAACAGGGCGAGACACGTTTCAGCAGTTCAAAGACAACATATCGAGCTGGTCCGGCCAGTCAGGGCGGCAGCGGCGCCGTGCCAGTCACCGAGGAGCAGTCGCATCAGATAGATGGTGGACCCGTCCGGCACGACCAAAAAACCAAGGCTAACCAGATCTGCGGCGGCGGGTGGAGCGGGCGGAGGGAGCGGTCGCCGTGCACGGTGCAGTGCCCGCCGCCGCCGGCCGGCAGATAGCTGCGCTGAGCCAGCCCGGGACTGACCGCCGCACGCCCGCCGGCCGGCCGGCCACCTCAGCTGGCAGCGATGTGCGCCGCCGCCTTGCCCGGCCGGCCCGGCACCCAAATCGGGCGGCCGCCCCACGTCTTCGGGCATTTCGTGCTGGTTTGCAGAGTTTTCTGTCGGCGGCCCCGCCTCAGTTCCAGCGATGGGGTGCCTTTTAAGGGCGTGCTACCGTGCCGTTGGGCCGACTGCAGCCTTGAGCGGCTCCTGCGGCTCGGCTCTGAGCCCGGCTCCGGCCCCGTCTGATGTCTGTACCTCGGCAGCGCTGAGCTGAGTCCGTCATGGCGCCGATTACAGTGATAACACGGCGGCGTAGCAGCGGCGCCGAAACGGCCCCAATCAAGCAGACTTAGTCCGGCTCTGTGTGTCACTCTGATCCGCTGGCAAAGCTAAATTAATCGACGCTCGTCTAAGTACCGGCCGGTGGCCGTCGCGACCTTGCGTGCAGACGGGATATAGCCAGCGGCGTGGGACGGCCTGCAGCAGGGACTGTGCAGCTCACCTGACCCTGCCCCCGTCACTGGAGGCCGTCACTCTGTCCGCAGTGGCCGGTCACATAGCCGTGCCCCAGGTCACGGGCAGAACGCTGCGCAGGACCGGCAGAGAGGGGCGCCGTTCCCGGTCAACCACCGGTGACTGATGACCTTCTGGCACGGCCGTGGGAGGGCACCACTTCCTCAGCGGGTCATTAATCTCTGCAACAGGTCCCCGGGCGGTGTGATCCTCCCCGAACTGAGGCACACCGAGCCTGAATCACGCCATGGCTGCATACAGCCGCGGCGGCGGCCCTCTGACCGCCTTAACGGAGTGAACCGTGCATCGGACCGACGGCGGACGTGCGGCCGCCTGCCCCGGTTACCCACCGCACGTGCGAACGGCCGACAGAGCGGCGACACGTGCCGCCATCACGGCTCTCCCCGGGTACACAGCCGTGACGGGAGGAAACGTGGCTTCATTATGTCGAGTAGAAACGTCGTGAGCGACGAGACGGTCGTCCAATCATCGGGATCGCCGACTGTCGCTCGGGTCACGGCGCGGGGACGGCTCGGATAGCCGTTACCGACCGAGCGGGGCAACACTCCGTCACCGCTCGCTGTAAAATTAGCTCGGCCAGGACCGCTGCCAACCCTCCCCGTCGCTGCCGCCGGCCGTCGGAGCCGACGATACGTCTGGCGCCATCTGAGCAGAACGACGGGAAGCTGCAGTTTCCGACGTTACCGGCAGAGCGTCGCTGTCGATGGGCTGCTCGTTATTTGGTCCAGAAAGGCTTGAGAAAGGTCACGGAACTCTCCATGTGTCATGGGAGGATGGTTGACCCCGGAATGGAATTCCACCCCGCTCCGTGGTGCTGTCATTCCTGGAGAGAG